GAGGAAACACTGCTGATGCCCAGTAGATCTTAATCAATAAATCAGCATTACATGAACCGATACGAGGGAAGCCCAAGCATACTACATGTATGCTTTATACTTATGCACAGGCATCAGTAGCATCATGATAATACTAAGCTTGTACAGACAACTTCAATCTTTATGACTTTCTCTTTCTTTTCCCCAAGACAAAGGACAGTTATATGTTACAATAAAAAGGGTTTACTCAACACATTTTCAATTAAATTCCGGACATTGCTCTTTGCAATATGAATGATAAATCTAAAATTTATCATTATTATTATTATTACCCCGGTATTATTAAGTATTGGCATCGCCTGTGCCTTGAGGGCAAAAAGCAAACTGAATCACTGAAACAATTGGGTCTCTACCCAAGTATAACTGATTGGGGGTGTGCAGGTAGACCACTACCCAGGGGTTTCCCCCTACTCTTATACCAACAGTACAGTGGATTCTGAACATGCAAAGGTGGTGACTCTCCTCTAAACTGAGCCTCCATTTACCTTTGTATCTGTGGGACGGAGTGCTTTCCACTTAACATAGCCTACATCTATGAAACAGGGGAGAGGCTCGTTAACACACAATGCAGGCTTCAGTCATCCATCTGAGTTGGATTTGAACCCACAATCTTTGGTTCGACAGGCAGAGGCTTTACCAACTGAGCCAACTTGCCTCCTCGTCTCCTTTGTGATTCGGATAAAAGAATAGACTATGAAATATTTGCATACTATGCTCATACACGAAGTGATACATGGATATCTTCTAATCTGTACCTTTTCAGAATTTTACAAATCTTAGAATGAAGAAGAAAAAAAGCTAACCACATACAAATGATCTTTCCCAAATTGCATCTGATTCCGAGACCAATCTGCTACCAACAAACACCATTTGGGCAATTTCTTGACCCAATTACCGACGAAATAGTCCACGTTTTGTGTCATTACCCGGACCATGTTAATAGATTCTAACGGGCAAAAGGGCAACTTGTTGCTCCATCATCCTAATTTAGCCACCCAAAATGGACTCTCTGGAAGTCACAAATACAAAAATGGCACTTCTTCCTGCTACAGTTTTACCGGAGCGGAGAGGAAATTTTTGTCAGTAAGCGTTTAGGTCTGTTCCATTAACCTATTAACCTCATACCAGCACTAACCCTGCTTAAGGTGCATGTCAGCCTTAATACCGGGTTTGATCCCATCTAATTAGGCAGGATCTGGGATGCTTTTAGTGTGAGAATTTGAGGTTTGTGAGCGACACAAGGACCCATGAATACTTGTGCAAAAGGGGTAGAAGGAACTTCAAGGAAGTCACAGTGAATATTAAAGTCAATTGATTTGGAATGATTTAAGTGAAAGAACGTTGATGTTTGTGGGCGACACAAGGACCCATGAATACTTGTGCTAAAGAGGTACTGGTAGAAGGAAGTCACAGTGAATATTAAAGTCAAGTTATTGGGAATGATAACAGTGTACAAATTTGATAGTTGTGAGTGTCAAAAGGACCCCTGATCATACATATCATGTAAGTACATTGTGTTTGTGCAAAAGGAGTACTACATGAAAGTCAATCAAGAGCTGCTTTAATTGTTTGTCAGTGGCACAAGGACTCCAATCAAATCCAATTAATGCCAATATCTAGTTACCTAATCAAAGACACAACAAATTTCTATTGTGATGACAGATAAACTTGTTTATATTCTTTTAAAATGGTGACGATATATAATTGTACTTTTTTCTTTTTCTTTGTGACAAGCAAACAAATGAAATTTTGCATGTTGAAACTGTCAAAAAAAGGGTTAATTTTTCTCTGAATTCATTTGTGAGGATCATCTCTTTTTAAAATCAAAGTCTTGTTTTCAGAGATTTTGTGTGATAGAATTTTTAAGTAAACCGACAATATCACAAAATCTGACGCCTTATTTTGACTGGTTAAAACAGATAATGTGCACAGGGACTTTAAAATTCTGAATTGAGAATTGTGCTGTGGATACTCCATTTCTCATAGTAACATGGGATAATTCACATACCATTTCTTAATGGACCTCATGTCCCCGTAAGTCATAGGCTACCCCCATCCATTGATAACCCAAATCAGTCAGGTTTCATTATACTCATGTTCACAAGTTCACTGTGTAAAATTTAAAAACAAAAATCTTACTCAGTACAAGGTTTTGGAGTGACTTCAAGTATCTAATTTCAATTTTCACTACAGCTCCTTATGGTATTCAAGAGCATTTTTCAAGCTTTACAGAGCTTAATGATTATATAAAACTTAACTCTCACAGTCTGGATCTACATACATGTATGTAAATAATCCTATGATTTCTTTTCATTCAAAAAATCTTTGTTCAAGGTTAATGCAATACAGTCAAACCTGCTATAGCAACCACCAGTCTATAAAAATTGTTTTTGATTGAAACATGCACTAAAGGAACCTGTACATAAAGACCACCTGGCCATGAAGACCACTTTTCTTGTCCCCTCGGGCAGTCTTTATATAAACACTTCACAGTATGCAAGAATGTAGCCTTTTCCAATCCATGCCCAGGATAATAGTTAGGTCCCTTTTCCCTATACTTCAAGTGTCCTTCAAATTGTTATGAAGTAGTAATGCTTGAAAATAATGAGGAATGGCAACAACAGGAAGTCGTTGAACAAGCTCTTCTTCTTCTTTTTAACAAGAATTTAACAATAACGGCAAAACTAAATCCATGATGATGACCCAGCCATTATAAATACGCTTGCTTCTTACTTTCCTGGGAAGATGAGAGGGGAACAAAAACAGGGATAAACATGTCTAAAAAGAGACAAAATAATAAATAAGTTATAGTGCTTACATACGTGAGTACAATATATAAAGAGTAGAATAGAAAATTCCAATCTTCATTGTGTGAAGTACATATTTACAGACTAAGAGTCATCAAACAAGTTCTCCTTGTTTTTAACAATAATAGCAATTGTTAAATTCATGATGACACATTCATCAAAGATTTGCTTAAGCTATGCTTGCTTTTTATAATAAATGACAAATAAATTAAAGAATGCGTTCTAATACATCTTCATAGTGTGAAGTTAATACATCTTCATAGTGTGAAGTACATATTTTTGCATTCACAACAACAGAAAGTCATTAAAAAGCAAAATTAAATTCCTTGATGATGACCCAGCCATTACAAATATATTTGCTTGCTACTTCCCTGGAAGATGAGAGGGAAACGAAAAGAGATAAACACGTCTACAAAGAGAAAAGATAATGAATAAGTCATCATACATACACAGTGGGTACAATATATAAGAGTAGAATAGAAAACAAAAGTCTAATCTTCATACCGAACCAATATATTCGCTTGTATTTCAGGGCTAAAATGCATGTGACCTATCATTCCACCCAACTCCCCATCCATTTATCCCATCTTCCTTCCTTCCTTTAACATCAATCATTTGTCAAGATAATAGTCTTTGAAAGTTACAGGAAACGTCCAGAAGATCTATGATAAATGACATTTACATTGAATTCTAGATTTATCATGATGTCCGGTTGAATGCTCAACTAGGTTCATATGAAATCAGCAATTTTGCAAGGAATTAAAACCAAATTGATCGAATGAAAAACATGACATAAGCAAACTTGCTTCCAGAGTCCATGTACCGGTATGTTTGATTTTGTTTTTCTTTGAAAATGTAGGTACCTTCTACATCATCCATTTGGAGCCGGAAGGGTGTTAGCTCCAAAACTTGAATATAACCTTCTGGCTCTAAATAGACAATGTGTTTAATATCATCAGATGGATAGTTCTTCATATAACCTTTTAATTGTTCAGGAGATAGCCACAGGAATGTGATATTTGAAATTTGGATCAACTTGAAAGGGATGTGCTCCAAGTTGATTGCTATAATTTAGAAATACCAATTTGAATGTATAAATTTGGAAGTATAAACTGGATATCATCCAGTGGGTCTGGTAGATTGATAAATAATTTTAGAGCAGCCACACCATCGGATTTCAGACATTTCAAGGCTGCTGGTAGCAAGTCTTGCATGGCCTTCATACATGTAGAGCACTTCACCTTAACGCGGATGTACTTATATTAATTTATTACTCCATTTTGTTTAGATGTGGACATACATTGTATGTACTGTAATACCAGAAACTTTGAGTGCACAGAACCCTTGCAAATTATTGCAAGAGGTTGAGATTTACAGAAGTTTTATAAAACTTATAAATGTTGCAAAATTTAAAATTAGAGTTTACCGGTAAGCACAATGTGAGTATATTTGCAATTTGCAAAAGTTTTTTTAAGTGAAAATATCATGTCACATAATTGTGACTTAAATCTTATGCTCACATGTGACTTTTTCTTTTAAACACAAGACAAAGATTCTCATATTTTTATTCAAAGACTAGATATATATCCAACAATACTGATACCCTAGGAATATAGGCACATTGCACAAATCCTTTTTCAGACAAAATTATGAGCAGCTTTCACCCTAAATACATTGACATCAACATGTATTAATATATGTAGAGTTTTACTGTGGTGACAGTTAAAACAAAATTCTGACCTATGACCCAATTGCAATTCTAATCCTATATATTTCTAATGAAATAAAGCCCAGAGCAATTGTGGTTAGGGCAAATGCAGAACATTGTGGCAATTTATTTTGGGCCATTCACATCCGAACGGGGCTTACAACATTCACTCTTTCATTTCAGGGAACCGTTTCACCAAGTCTTTTTTCAATGACAAATGACTAAAATCAGTGACAAATCTGCTGATAACCAATCAGAAGCAAGAATTTCAGTAGCTTATCACAAAAACTATCATTTGTCACTGATGACAAGTTTTGTGAAACGCCGCCCACATCATATATAAAAGTGGCTTCACAACTTTCACCCATTCATCATATCTCAAAGAGACTTCATAAATTTCACTCATTCACTTCAGATTAGAGCAGATTAGATAATCCAAAGGATACAACTGTTGGTAGAACTCGAGCTGAGATCTCTTGATGCGGTTTGCGTTGATGGCTGTCGCCCTAACCAGGCCAGGTAGAACTCGGTAGTCCACCACTGCTCCGTCAAAGAGGGGACCAAAGAATGGCACCTGTTCAATCGGATAAAATTAAAATGATAAATTTTAAATTAAAAAAAACATGAATTTGTAATTGCAAATGCATACCGTAATGTTGTGGCCGTTTCTTTGGGGCCATTCACTGATCTCATCTGACAACATTGACTCTTTCACTTCAGGGACCCGCTTCACAAAGGATCAGTTACATAAATTGGTGAACTGTATTTTTAGATTTAAAAAATAGCACATGGTATAAATATTTAGGCAAGGCAGATGAATGTACCCTTTTATCTTGTGACATTGTGATCATATTGCTAGATGTTTTTTTTTTTTAAGGAGAAAGAGAAAAAGAAGAAAGCAAAGAAGAAGAAGAACAACAACAATAAGAAAAAGAAGAAAAAGAAAAAGTAGAAAAAGAAAAAACAACAAGTAACATCCAATAGAAGAGATTTAACACCAAACATTGTCCGACATTGTTTAATAGCTATGAATTATGTTTGTTGACTGTACCTAGTACTATTGATACAATTCCTTGATTTTCTACAAATTCTGTGATCCACAAATGTCACAATTTCTTGACAATTGACATCATATTAGAATGTATTGCAGTGGTTGTTTTTCTTAACAAAGAAAGTAATTAGGTGAGATCCCACACAATTTCATCATTGTGGTTGGAGATTACTACATACCGGTAAACATGAGGACTTTGACACACAGTCTACCCAAAGGGAAACAAACAGGAAAATACCCCCCCCCCCCCCCCCTGCAAAAAAAAAAGAGATCAAGAAAAATAAACGTTTTTAAAATGCAGACTGAAAGATTGTTATGTAATATAATTATTTTTAAAAAAATCAAGGCCATAATTACTTGGTCATGCCCAAGTTATTATCTATGGCAAACATATACAAAATATTTTTTTAGCTTTTTGCTTTAAACTTTCCCAATTAGGTGCTATTCCCCCCCCCCAAAAAAAAAAACAACAACAACAACAACAACCACAACAACCTCTAGGTATTTAAAAACTTCCTTTGAACTTAAAAAATGTAATTTATAAATGTGAGTTAAATTTAGGATCTGCCTGAATTGATGTTCTTCAAATTCAATGTGTCACAGCCCTCTTATCGCATTGATTACCATATAAGATCACTTATTACCATCTCAAGTTATGATGTAAGTTTGGGGTGAATAGAAGAGAAAAAAAAACAATAGTGCCATGTGAGGAAATGCAAGGTGTAAATATATAAGATTTTATGCAGCTGTTTCCAAGAATAAAAGATGTTGTCAAAAAGCAAAATGAAGAGAATATCACACAAATAAACAAGACTAATGGTAGTAGTATTTAGATATATCAATAATTAAAGAGGCGGGAATGACTTTCTTGCGTGGGAAGAAAAATCACTTTCAAACAAAGAATACCGCTGATGCTGAGAATTTTTTTTTCCATTCCATTCCCCTGAGCTCCGAGAACAAGAGAACCCATTGAATTCTCTTGCAATTTTGACAAGGGAAGATGATGGATGTGCACCCTGGTTATGGCCAATCTTTGCCTACACGTGTTTCCATTGCTACAACGGGTGAACAACCCTGTAGATGGATGACAAGAAATCTCTTAATTGCCGGTTTTCTCCCCATTCCTGCGACAAATGAATAATTTAGAGAGGCTTTTCCCCGGCAAGGGAACTCTGGTGAATGTTTAGAGATTGAATAGTGTCAAGGCATATCGTGTCATTGTGTTGCGTGTTTTCAAGCTTTAATAGGTTTCTATTAGTACTACTATGCATAAAAACGCATGAGAGTCAATGACCGAGAGTATGCTAAAAATTATGCAGTTTCAAATACCGGTAATGTATACATACATGCATGCATCAAAGATAAGCTACATGTACCTCATACACATTAAAATACAGTATAAGTGTTATCCGCTATTATCAATATTTTCTTTGGTCATATTCTTGATTATAACTTAATGAATGAAATAAATACTAATCATAAAAGCTATACATGTATATTACAATTCAATGCTGTCCAGGGCAATACCATGCAATCAGTCCCGTACGACATACATCTTTTTATTTTCTTCATTTATTTCATCCAAAAATGAAATTTATCTTTGTATGACGATTCAATTATGTTTAATAGCCATACCAGAAACAGCCATTAGTTCATGGTCAAATCAAGAAATTTTCATTTTCATTGTTGGATAAAATACATGAATAAATGTCATATGACCTCGAGACACATTGCAAAGAATTGCCCTCCGACATATACATGTACACATGAATTCAAGATTGTCATACTGATATGGATAACATTTTAAATGTAATACTATGAAATCAGTACGTTGTGTTATGGAGGGGCAAGACAATAAAGAAAACAAACAGATTTTAAAACTTTCTTATTCAAAATATATATCATTTTTGCAGATAATTACATATAATATTTGGCCGTCTGTTTGGCGAAATAAATCTAAATTTTGAAGGTCATTTAAACTATGCAAACTCCTCTTCCAACCAATGCATATTAAACATTTGCTCTTATTTTTGTCGATATATGTCCTTCTAATAATTGTGAATACAATTATGAATGAGTCTTTTCTCCAAAGACACATTCTGTTCTTCATGCTTGTGCCCAATAAAATATAATATCATCAATCAAATGGATTCTTTGGGCATTTCTGTGATACGTAGAGAGTTGAGCAATCATGATATTTTTCCTTCTCTTTTTGTATGTTTGTTTGTGTGTTTTCCTTGGTATTTTATAAAATGTCTTTTTTATTTTCAATGTTTTTAACTGGAATGTGGAAACTGCATAAATGAAATGAAACTATATTGTATTCACATCAAACATGCACTTTGATGGTATCAGCTACAGTAAGTTCTCATTTAAAGTAGGAGGAGATTGGTATTAAAGCAATATTATCTGAACTCTCATTACAGTGATGCAAACATGCAAATTTATGACAAAGCTTTTTTGTCTACTTGAGTAGCTAATGCCCCAGTTCCCAAGTTAACCTACTGGCTATAGAAAAAGAATGATGAATACTGATTGTTATATTGTTTGGGATGTAAGCAATTGTTAATATTTTTAATGATTTTCTAATGTGTCATTCAAGTAAAAAATAATAGTCATAAGAGATTCTCTCTTGAAAGGACAACCTCTTGTTTCCAGATTTCATCTGAGTCATGACATAAAGGTAGAGCATTAAATTCTACAATTGACCTAGTTAAATATCAAGGTACATACATGTACAAGTTTTACCAGTATTTGTCAAACTGATCATTTTCAATAAAATATATTGTATCGACAAAAGTCTTCAATGAAGGTATCTCCCTCTCTGTCAATATTATTGTCATCCTTACAATAACTATCAGTAATTTCATTTACCACTAACATTGTGAGAATGAAACCACTATCATCAATATCATCATCACCACCACCATCATCATCATCATCACCAACATTGTTGTCGTCATCGTAGTCTTCGCCGTCATCATCACCATCAATGCCATCATCACCAATTCACCATCAATGCTATCATCACTGTCACCAATACCATTCAACACTTCCATGATTTTCACCACCATAATCGGCAACCTCCTTTTCATTACCAACATAGATTAAAAACACTAATGCTTTCAACATCATCATAACCATGATCTCCCCTTCATGACCACTGAAATCTGCAGCAGCATATCTCCTGCACTTTCAGCACTGCAATGAGTGCTGCCCTTATCTGTTATGGGTAATACTCTAATTAGTAACACTGACATGAACTTCATTAAGACTCCACTAGTAGTAATCATGCACACACCTACATGACCATTCAAATCTACAACAGTATAAATCGCCTAGATTATCAGCACTGCAATGAATGCTGCCCTTATCTTTCATTGGTAACAGTCATATTAGTAACAGCGACAAGTACTTCATTACTAAAGACCCCACTAATTAATCATGCACACAAGTTTAATTATGCACACAAGTCTTGTTCACACATGGTAATATACGCTGCCTCAAAATCCAATGTGAATGTGGCAGAGTAAAAACTTGTTTTACATCTTAATCAATGTAAATCAATCTGCGGTGACAAACAAAAATGCAGCTACATGCTACAAAGGATAATCCTCTATTCTGTATGTTGTAAAAACATAAAAGTCATTCATACTAATAACTTGTATTAGGCCTAAAAAAAAAGATGTTGTATTGCTTAAACATGGGTTGGTCAGTAGGAAATCTTTTTTTCACTCCCTCTTTGGGCTGATATTTTTCAGTTTTTAATGCTTTAATACATTTTTTTTCTTTCTAAAAATTGGTTTGACAAAACAAACAAAAAATTAAAAGCCGACCGTAGATTTCAAGATTTTGGGGCTATACAGCATCTTTTTTGTTTTAGGCCTTATCATATGTTGCTACAGCAGTGATTTCTTGAGGGAATTTATCTTCTTTGTGTGAATAAGCCTCAAGTAACAATGTCTAGCTACTCACATCTCCTTTCCGTTGGATTTGTATCCTGAAGAGCTGGTTCTTGAGAGGATAGATCACGATGATCACATCTCCAAATTCCGTTGCTATGATACCTCTTCGATAGTCCCTGGAATGCTCCGACCACACAATGTGAACTTCGTCATTGCCGAGGTGACGCATCTTTTTAGTGAAAGCAGAAGTGAAAACAAAACATGAGTTCATCCTATGTCTTCTTCTTGCGAATATCGTGAAAATGTAACTTTTCTAGTGATTACAGTAACCCATTATCAAAACAAAACAGACTTTTATTACTTAAACAAAATAAAATTGCTCTTTACAAGTTATAAAATTCTCAATATTTTTTTCCTATTAATATTTGATATTGACTAAACAACTCAAAAGAAATCAATCTGAATACTTACTACATGTTTGCTTTCAGATTTCATCATTTTCTGAATGACCTTAACAAATTATTATTTTTGTTATGTAATAGTTTACAGTATGTTGACTCATTTCTTATTCATGTGAAAAGAAAATCTGTGGATGCTAGATAAATCAGGCAACTAAAGTAGCTTCACTGCTTTAGTAACACATCTATTCTACCTATAAAGAAGTATTACATATCTTCACTACAGTATTTGCACTAATAGATCTGCATACTATATTGGGAATTTTCCATTACTTCATTCATTACAACACAAAAACTTTCATCCTACTTATAAGTATCGGCTTGCATGGTGATGTAGATATACAGTAGACTTGTGGTCGCACCATGTTGCAACCACAAGCCTACTGTAGGTTCACTTTCTAAACGCCACACATAAAATGGTCGCGACAAATATAGGAGTCTAGAGTAGACCGAGAGCACTCACCTTCTTATTGAGGTCCGTTCCTGAAGGCATCCTGGTGGAGACATGGAAGATGACCTCTACTGTAGAGGTAGCGTGGTAAGGAGCCGTCTCTCCTGTGCTGCCGTTCTTATGCAGGCCTCCCATGAACCCTGGATGGGTGCTCAAGTCAACCTGTATTAAACAGAAGCACAAGAAATAGTTCACATAGGACTCAGGGACAATGTTTGATTTTTTATATAAAAACACACATATGATGTTGTTGTTGTTTTTTGGTGTTATCGGCATTTCATTCTTTTTGAAAATACTTACGTCTTTCACTTTCAATTGGGGATGAAAAAAGTAGCCTAACAAAGTTCTTACCCATACTCACTTAACTGTGAAAATTATCAAAATACAGTAATGTGAAGCCATATGTCATCACAGAAAAATTTTAAAATGCCATGGTTTACCCGTTTAATATACATGTACATGTATGTAAACAAGCCTTTTAATGGTATCATTAGCGTACAGTTCCCATACATGTACGAGAACACGAATGCTCAAATAATACTCACCACAAGATAGGTCAAATGTATATTTTATACACTAATAAGGGTTCAGCACAAACATAATATCTAATGAATTGTTTTTCATTTCTATTAAAGCCAATCTGCACTAGTTTGGCATGGAGGGATTAGACCTCCCTGCAGGTGGTTATCTCATCAAATCAGCTCTCAATTAACTTCAGAAAAAGGGCATCATGGGAGATCAACGGGTACCGCTTAGGTATTGTTGGCTGTATAAGAGGGCGCAAGTAGCTATAAGTAGTGCAGTGGGGCTTTAAATATCCCCGAATGATTAGCAACAAATTTTCTTCCCCCCCCCCCCCCATAAAGTTTGAGATCTCTTACCTCCCATCCTAGCCCTGAGATGAAGTTTTCATAAGCCTTGCTTCCTCCACTGTTGGATAGAACAGACTGCTTATCCTCCTGCCCTTCTGCTACATACAGCACTGCTATCTTGTGGGTCTCCCGGCTGAAATCAATCAATCAAGCAGAAATACAATATAATAATATCAATAATCTGGTAATAAGTAGGGTATTTCATGCCTGTTTTCAAAGCATGAGGAAATTATCTTCTTGTAAGACTATTCTATTTAAAACAAGACGTTTTGTTTTGTTTTGTTTTTTCATAAAAAATTGCTAAAATGTATATATTGAAAACCAAAATATGATGCCAAAGAGTAGCCAATACGTTAAAGAAGGCAGGATCAAAGGTTCCAATAATAAGATTCTCTTTTATTCTAATTCAGATGGATTCAGATCTTCTGATTGTGATCCAGAGAATATCTGATAATTGTTCAAATGTTCCAAATATCTAACTACCCTTGGATTTAACTGAGACGATATTGTATACATACCATTGCCTGGAATCCAAGTTCTTGAGTTCTCTTGCAAACTGCTCATTCTTCTTTACAATATCAACCTCATCCCTGCAATACAGAGAAAACATAACAGATACACACTCTAAGATGTACTACAAAAGATAAATTGGTTTAAAACAGTCCTGCACGTAGACATTTCTTTAGATAAAGGGAAAATAGACGAAAGATGTACTTTTATACAATGACGTTTCTCACTAAACATACATTTCAATGATATGTTCATACAAAGCACAAGATGTCTAGCATGTTCACATTATTTTGATATATGGAGAAATAGGGAAAGAAAATAATGGCACTACACTTGGGTAAGAGCCACAACTTCCACAAGTATATTGAGAAATACTGCCAAGCTATTCAGAACAAGAAAAATTCATAACATACTCAATACCATCATTTCTATCCCTCAAACCTAGCAACACAACTACAAAAAGATCAATTGCATTTAATTATTTACCCATGCTGAATAACCAAATTATAAGGTTTATTACCATAATACTTGCAATTCGTAAATTTAAGACAATAACATGATCTTTAACATACATGTAACTACCTGCCCTCCATATTGTCACAAAACAAACACATTATTAAATAGCCGGTATTGAAAAGATAGTTTAAACTTATGCACTTCAGTATCATACAGTTGGGTTTAAAAAAAAATCCCCTTTCTTTACCCACCATGTGGTGATATTTTGTTTTCTAGGAACATATTTGTAGCAAAGAAATCATACATTCCAACTATATCTCTCACTAACGAGATAAACACATACCTCTTATCCCAGTTCATGAAGCCTAACTGACTAACCAGCTGTCGACACAGGCAGAACTGAGACTCAGGATCTTTGTGCGCAGTCTGCCAGCACTCCTCGGCAACCATGCTGCATAGATGAAAACAAATCATTGTGTTAGTTTATTCATATCATAATCATTATCATTATTAAACAATTTGGAAATCATAACAAAATTAATATAAAGGAAGGAACAGTGTCTAATTGAGACATGCCCTGTTACCTCTGAAGCTGTCTAAAACTATTGAAACAGATGGTCATGCTGCTACAATAAAAATGCATTCCATTTGTTTGTCATGGTAACAGAGTTGTACATGGATTGGTGACTGATGTGAATACTGAAAGATAAATTATTTGGATATACAGGTGGCTAACTGAATTGGAATCATCAAATGACTCCTTGATATAATCTTGATTTAAACACTATTTTTTTTTAATCTAAAAAGATAATGTTCCCGTTACTCAAAAAGAGTTATGTTAATGTTGAGACCTATTGAGCAGTTGAACACTAAGCCTTGGATAACTTGAGCTAGAGTCTCTAGAAAACATATTTTCTACGCACATCATCAAAATTCAACAGGTTACAGAAGAGGGGGGAAAGGGGGAAAAGGGGGAGGGGGGGGGGGGGTTCCTTCAAATATTTATTCCTTCTGAATAACACTTACAAACTGGAATTCCTTCCCATCATCCATAGATAACATTCAAAGTCTCTCGAAATATTCAAGGCTCATGTGCAACATCATTATTTTATCATTTCATGCGCACACCCAGTCCGACTCGCTTCACTCAACCAGGTGTGTTGAGCCATATCATTTTCAGATTTGGATTCAGCGAAAAATCAATGAACTTTGTTTAGGTATTTTCTAGTGCAATTATCCTTGATACAGCATCAACACAGATAGTTATGCCTACCTTTCCACCTCCCCATATCTCTCCACGTATTCAGCCTCCTTATCACACTGTTTGAGCAGGGCACCCATGGCATAGCGCTCCATGTCACTGCACATGTCTGCTGGTGATGGGAAGGGAAGATTGAGGGGAATCCCCGGTCTGAGTAAACACTCCGGGCTGGTGAAGCCAATGTATTGTTGAAGCTGAAATGGAATAAAGATTGAAAATTCTTCATGCATGTAATGTCTACTACATACATACTACCAGCTCTAAGTATTAAGAACGCCTTATTAAATTTGAAGGAAACATAAGAATAAAATTCATATGTTTATATTACATGCAGTATTGTCAAAATTGATGACAAATTTGTCATATTTATTTTCTGAAATGCTACCAGCAAATAGTCTCTAAAATTAGACAAATCACTATTGATAACATCTACCTTGGCATTGCAAATTGAAAGTAACCCATTTTCTAACTACAGTCAGGGAATAAAGCAATAATAATAATAATGTCAATTTATAAAGTGCACATATCCATTCTAAAAGACTGCTCAAGGCGCTCTTGTATAACATCAAAATAATTATACAATATTAAAACTACAACATAATTATACAATATTAAAACTACAACATAAACAAATGGTGCTTAAGTTTCTTCTTAAATATTTCAACTGATGATGATTGTCTTATTTCTAATGGTAAAGTGTTCCATAGTTTGGGTGCAACGATAGCAAAAGCCCTGTCCCCCCATTTGTTATTGGTTTTGGGTGTACATAACTGAAGCTGTGAACCTGATCGTAAATTCTGTTGTGGGGTGTACGGTTTCAAAATCTGATACAAGTAATGGGGTGAAGAATGAAGAAGTGTTTTGTAAGTAATGAGTAACAGCTTATACATAATTCTTTTTGAGACTGATAGCCAATGAAGAGATTTTAATATATCTGAAATACTATCTGATCTACTGCGGAGAGTGACAAGCCGAGCTGCCATGTTCTGAACTCGTTGCAGACGGGCTATTTGATTTTGAGGAAGGCTAATATACAATGAATTACACATATCCAAACGACATGTAATAAAAGAATGAACAATCTGTTCAGTGGCTTTCTGATTCAGATATTTTCTGATCCTCCAAATATTGTGAATATGGAATGATGCTGAACTAACAACATTTGAAATCTGAGATTTCATGGTCATTCCAGCATTCATGGTCATTCATGGTCATTCATGGTCATTCCAGCATCAAACAAAGATGATAATACAACCATTCTATTCCAGGAGGCAGAATAAATAAACCACACACACTCACCTCCGTGAGTACATCTAAAGAGTCTCCTTCTTCCTGCCATGATGGAACAGTACTCCTGGACTTCTTGTTGTTGGTGATGATGTCGACAGAGAGCTTGCGAGACTTGGGTGCCATCCAGAAAACAGAGTCTGCTTGATCCTCTGGGGGAGGGGCAACAGGTGGCTTCTGTCTGGTCACTGAGATCCATGAGATAAGAATGATATACCATCATCACTAAGAACTGACAATAATACACTATCTAGACTCAATAAATGTGAGGTAGTGATGTATTCAAAGAAAAGTCAAAACTGTATTAAACATTTATGTTTCTATAAATGCACATCCCTGGCGTGGATTCAAATGTACCCTCCAGCCAGATAACAGGGCACACTGTGACCCAAATTCCTCCTTGTTTACAGATTTAGTGTACATTTCACAGGAAGGCAGAAGGAGTTTGCTCGTAAATTTCATCATTCTTGAATAGTCAATTTCACTCTTTGATTGACAGATGGAATGTAGGAAGATGCTCTTCTTATTGATTTCTTGTTAATTTCATGACAGATGAATTCCTTGCTTGTGTATTACATCCTCTGTCCCAGATGTTTTTCTTGGTTGTATATTTTTGCATTCCTTGAAGGTACATTTCAGGAAGGTGACCTTCTTAAAGGCTTTACACATTATATTGCATCTTTCCTCCCCTCTCTATATTTCAATACATTTTGTTTATCACATAGTAGTAATCATCAATTTAAATTACAAGAAAGCAAAATCAATGTCAAATCTCACATCCAGTTCCTTCTTATCTTAAAAATTGATACAGTATCATAGCAGTAATACAATACATTCTGACTTATTCCGGCAATTTTCTTGTTAAATATTTGGACTACTATAGGGTAAAGCTTAAAAGGTGAGATTGACGGATTTACATTAAATATTCAGAAGAATTCCGCTTTGCACTATCCTCATGTTTGATCCTTTACATTGGCAGAACCGTGAGTGTTCCTACTATACAGCAACAAGTACCTCCTTCACTGAAATAGCCCTTTTCTCACACATTTGAATGTACACTATCTATAAGATGAAATTACAGGACTTAATTGTTAGACCTTACCTAGTCTTGTTGGTTGTGCCTTGCAGTCTGCGGGTCCATAGATGATCCGACCGTCCCATGCAAACTTTCCTGATACATTCCTTACCACAGCTCTCAGGTCTGATGTGGCTACAGAAAGTCCAGACTCTGATCCATCATCCTAGATACAAGGGATCAAGATTAAAAGAAAATTAATCTTAGAATGGATGTGTACTTTACGATATTCCACTTTTAGGAAGAATAAATTTCACACTTCATTTTAATGCAGTCAATAAACTGATCTTTCATTCTTTCAATAATCATTAACATTTAGAATTGATAATTAGTCTGGAGCCTACAAGCCAAATAAAAAATATTTCTAAAATGGATGTGTACTTTACGATATTCCACTTTTAGGATAACAAATTTCTCACAACCAAACAAGACACTATCATTCACACTTCATTTTGATGCAGTAAATAAACTGATTGTTCATTTTTTCCAATAATCATGAAAATTAACATTGATACATTAGTCAGCAACCTGAAAGCCAAATAAAATGCTTATACATAGACATACACAATAGAAATGCTAAACTCTATATACTTCAAACAAATATTTGTTGACCAATAAAAGACACTTGTAATATCGCTACAAATCGTTTTAAAAACCCCCCAAAATATTTGTTCCTCTTTTGTGAGTGTTCTTGAGCCAATTTCTTGAGTTGACATTGGTTGAAATGATAGACAGCAAACCAAACTCACCAATGGTGGGATCTGTGTGAGAGAGACCAATGAAGCATCGTTGTATATGAAGAACTGTACATTCTCAGCCTCAAAGAGCCGCGGCGTGATGTCATCGGTGTCAAAGTTCGGCAGGTCATCGACCTCATTCACGAGTGACGTGACACAGGCCGGTCCCCCACCAAGGGGAAAGTGATTCAGCTTGTCGATCAGCTGTGTTAGGACCTATGGTATGAACAGGTACAGAGAGTACATGAGACACAATGGCTGGTACAGTGCTATTGTACTGCGTGTTAGATGGAATATATTCATGAGATCAGCTCTTCCACTAACCATTAGAATTACTCCCACATATCCAATAACTGAGAAGTGCTACACAGTTTATGGTATTCACACAAAGTGTAAGGAAACAAAACTTCACCTCAAAATGAATAACATTTCATTAATAAAGATAAAAAGATGTTTCAAACAATAAATAGAATAAAATAAATTTAATCATTTAGAAATCCCTCATCATAACCAATTTCTTAAACTTCATTTTTTTTTTTACATTAAATTTTCTTTTTTGTTTCTGTCTTTTATAAATATCGGCTCAACTCATATGGAAGCAGTGTATAATTTACTGAAACACAAAGGCTGAAAAGGTTAACTTACTGTTCTGGCTGTTAGTCTTGTAAGTTCTGATGAAAATGAAGATTGTACTTGGTATGAAGATGAAGATTGTGATTCACCTGTGACAGATAAACAAAACAGTATCAATCATGTTTGCTTATATGATATAACTACTGTATTTTACTCAGCATACTAATCTCTATACAGAATACATCAAATTCTGTAATGGCGCTATGGTACATAAAAAGGTTAGGATGTAATGATAACATAGTAAGGAAAAAAGGACAAATTTCAATCAAAGATAAGTTTTTTTAAAATCAACCTGTCTGCAATCAATCACAGAAAGATGAATAATGGATCTTTAGCATTAATGTCATATTGAAATGAGTTTTTAAGAGTACATGTATATCAGTTCCACAGGTTGAAAATTCTGTCTTCTTCAAATGACCAAACACTTTCCCTGTAACCATTACTAAGCAAGTATAAAATAGTCTTGATAATGCAAACCGACAAAGGGACTTACCCTCGTCAAAGATAAAGTCTGAGAATTCCATGGGGTTGTTTTTGAGGGCTGGGTGTAGGAGGTGACTGTCCTTGAGAGAGTCTAGGTTGATGTGGGGGTCGTAGTCCGGTGATGCTAGCTCAGAGAAGTTGATGGTGTATAAACTCTCAGCGGCTACACCCTCCACTGCTGTCTGCAATACCTACCATGGTTAGAAGACATATAAGGGATGATATCAGGGACCCGTTTCACAAAGCCACTTTTCAATGACAAATGACAAAAATCAATGACAAATCTGCTGATAGCCAATCAGAAGCAAGGATTTCAGTAGCTTATAACAAAGACTGTCTTTTGTCACTGATGACAAGTTTTGTAAAACGGGTCCCTGGACTTTGGTCTTGAAAGTTGATGAAATTTGTGATGGCTTCACATTTACCAGAATGGAAGCAAGTACAAGCTCTAATTTTAGGACTTGAGGGGATTTTTTTCTATTCTTCTCCTTAAGCTTCAACTTTAATTTCAACCATTTAACAAGTAAATATCATGATATGTAATATAGGCCTGGGCCCCGTTGCACGAAACTTACCGTTGACGGTTATTTGCCGTCAATGGTAACTACCATGGAAACCTTGATTTTGATTGCCTGTTGAGCCCTGTTACCATGGTAGTTGCCATTGATGGCAAAGTTACCATCAATGGTAAGTTTTACGCAACGGGGTCCTGTTGTGTCCAAGTTCGGCAAAGTGGGGAAAAGAGCTAAATACTCTCTGTTGACACTATTATCGATAATCTATTAAAGCTAGAGTGCATTGCTGTGACTTTACATGAAAGGGTGTAAAAATATGTCACCTGCTGGGAGCCAGAAGGGCAATAACTTGTATACCTTTTCATTGATCTATTGTCTTTCTGGCTGTCAGCAGACAGTTTATGGAAGCCAAGTCTTGACCCTTAATTTTAAAGCCCCTTTTAGTGTTGGGAGCCCCAAATTCGCCAAAATTTGATGGCAAAATTGTATCATAATGCAGAAAACCTAAATATTATATTCTTTCATCAATATTCAACTTCAGACACATTTGTTATGAAAATACTTGCAGAAATGTGTCTTAAATGACATCCTCTTTCACATTATGATACAATTTAAGTGAAATTTTGCGATCAAATTTTTGGGGCTCCCAACACTTTAGATGGGCTTTAACGGACATGGACGGGTCCATGAACGCAGAGTAACAGGTTTGATTCTCTTGTGCAATGAATGCCATCTTACCTTGAATACTGTGTGTAGGAGAGGTTTGGCCTCTTTCTTTGACTTGCTCTCTGTGCCTTCAAGCAGGGATGAGAGTGGAATGGAAATACACCACTCAGACAGACAGAACATGAGTGATACAATCAGCTAGGGAATGAAAGAAATGAAGAATAACACTGCATTAACCTTTGATTTCCGCCTTTAAAATGGTACACAATCTATTAAAAGTGGTAATATGACAGACATCAAAGTCTACTGCTAATGTTGAAATGAAATTGCACTTTTTTTAATTAAACCTATAAATTATTCTGAATTATTGATCAAAACGTAACTGTGAATCCTCAGATACAATGAGTTAGTTTTGACCGGAAACAAAACTGAGACGTCTTCTCGAAAAGCAAATGTTCAAAATCTTACAAGCATAAGATTTTAATCTTATAACTGTTGATTTGATATCGGAATAGATACTATACTAATCAATTAAATGCTTCTTCCTCATAAAAGCATAATTAGGGTCAAACTCTTTAATAATGTGTCGCAAAACAAAACTGAAAGAAACACACACTTCCTTCTAAGTTACTTCCTTCTCAGAAGTAATTGATTCTGAACTACATGAACTCTATTCATACAATCCCTGATATTTAAGAGTGACTACTTGATATTATCAACTTCATAGCCATCCATACCTGACCATAAAATATTCTTCTTTTTTTCCCCTTTCTAAGTATACAAATGCGAAGTTTAAGCTTGATCAGAGCAAAATTGTTGAAGAAAGTCTCCGCCAAGCAAGGAGCATACTTTGTCTTTTAATAGTATGGCTATTATTCCAATTTTAAAAAGTGGGCATTTGAATTCTTTTTGTAAGGTTATTCACTACATTACAAAACTATTAAGCACATTCAGTTTCTTCTTCAAGTACTATTTGTATAATGATCTTACCTTTTTATCCTCTTCCTGTTCAGTCATCTCGGTACTTGACAATAAGCTAGCTATTGTCATGGCTATTACCTGTTGAAATGTTAAAAATAAAAAATATGCTCAAAATACATGAAAAAATACTACTGTAGGATTTATGGCTATTATCTTTAATTCAATTTTGAGATAAACTCTGAAGTTGGTTATTTGCAGGCTTTTTTTTTCCTCATGGAAACCAAGCACTGAATCTACCCTTTTCCCGCACACATTGTGAGAATATTACTTTAGCAGTTTCATATGCATATCCAGAGCTGCCAACCTCCAGAACAGAAAATCAGTAATCACAAGGCTCAAAATCAGTAATTTGGGGTATAAATCAGTAATTTCTTATGCGGCGCTATGAATCTAAAAAAACGACACGCCAACACTGCGCGGACGCATGATTATCTGAAATTTTTGGTGATTTTACTCACACAAAGATGTTAAGTATTGAATTTCAGGTCATCACAACACAGTTTATCATGAAAAATGGCTCCTATTCACAGCACTCGCTACGATAAATCATATTTAATTCATTAAAAAAAAAAAAAAAAAAAAAAAAAAAAAATCTTTTTTTTTTTTTTTTTTTTAAATCCGTAATTTGAGACAACATTCCGTAATGGTCGTTAATTTCCGTACCAATTACGGAAAATCCGTACTAGTTGGCAGCTCTGCATATCTAAAAGAAAATTGGTAACAAGTCCTTCTTCATGAATGTGTGTGTGTTGGTGTGTATGTGTGTGCTTGTATTATGCAAGTCTTTCACTTGTCATTATTTATGTTCATTATCTTGTTATCGTTTGATACAGGGCCCCAATTACAAGCAGAATTCTGTTTCTTTAGGGGTTCATACCAATATCATATTGCATATTGTCATTGTAAATTGTTTTATAAAGGTGTATAAAGATTTGAATATAATTGAAAAATATCACCAGTCATTATTTGATCCCTCATTAGGTTTTACGCATATACAACATGCAGCATTATGTATGTTTTTCCCTCAAATTCCAGACAGACTGCTCCGATAAAACCTACCTCAATGATCTTCTTAGGAGCTTCTGGCAAATGTCTCCTCAACCGTTCAGCATGGTCACATATAACCAGGAGCATGTCACACGCGACCTGTCCAACTAGCTTGTTCTGGAACTAAAATGACAAAAAGAAAGGACATATTTCACTTCAAAATGAATTACAATAGTGGCAAATTTTGAATGAATAATTGAATGCTTGCTTTTTCAACTTCTGAAGTACAGACAAACTTCTAGTGTACTTTCATTGTTAATAGGGGGTGTGTAAATACCACGGAGGAAATTAGATGCTACAAAAAGACAATCTCACTTTAAGAAATACTATAATGGTAAATGTAAAATATAATAAGATGTCTTGTACAGATACCGACACATCAACAGAACACTATTCATAATTTTACTGTTTATGAACTTGCTTGTGCTTTTATAGGGACATCTTGTGGTGCCTTATAATCCCCCCCCCCCTCAAAAAAAAAACACAACAACAACAACAAACAAACAATTATGTTTTTACACAATTATTTAGTAATATACGTCTCATATAACTAATGCTATGGTCACAAAGGTTTGTACGGACGATAATGCGTACGAATCTCTGTTTTTCCATTGTCTTCCCGAATTTCTATTGTCTGAAAATAGTTTGTACGGCGTTCGTAGCAATTCATAATGGCATTTGTGACTGAGGCTTAACATAATATAGCTATGAAGGTGATATTTTTTTAATGTAAATAATGTATATCTTCAGACCCAAATAATAAAAGAAGTATTAACTCACTTTCAGACTGGCAAGGAGTACATTGATTGCTTCTTTGATACGAGGGTGAAAGGTCGTGTGCGCTAGCTCCTCGTAGACAAAGATACCCAGACCACAGAGGGCGATACAGCGAGCTTCACAGTTGGGCTCCTTCTTTCCACATTTGAGTAGAATGCTGATGAGGTGATCCTATGAAATAACAAAAGTACAAACAATAGCTTTAAATCCAATATGTCGAAATTTTGGTCGTCAAGAAAAGATCAACTGCTGTACAGTGCCACTAAACATGTGTCCTGATATGGATTCTTCATCCTAAGGTCAACAAGAGGCAAATAATTTTTTAACTTTAAATGCCTACTTCCAAGGTATATTTCCAAGGTATATTATAGAAGTCATATCAAGATAGTAATATATTGTAATTACATCAGCAATATGGTTTGAGTTTAACAAGTATTAGCTCCAAACACTGTCATAAGGTGGATTTTTTTTCTTCTCACAATTAGCTTAAAAGTAATGCAAAGTTTGGGGAAATTTTGAAAATTGGATATATAATAATTATTTAAAATTTTGATATATTTGGATGCACCTGTGGATGAACTATAAGCACTAGAAATGTTAGCCCCTAAAACACTTCTGCTTTCGAGAAATTAAATAATTAAAATTTACCGGTGTGCTCCCGGTAAATTTCAAATATTTCAAATAGCTCCTAAGGCCATTCCATGGTAGCTGTGACCATGATAATCTCAGAATATGCAGTTCTGATATATAATTTCCAAACATAAATAACAAATTGGTAGATTGTAGTCAAGAAACATTGTTTTAAAGCTAAAGTAACATCAGTCTTGAGAGGGAGCTATACAACCTAAGGAGTTTATTATTTAATAATATATATTATAAAATGATATTGTAAAATCGCATATGCTTCCAATATGTTCATTTGAACCAAATTCATGACCCCATACCAAAACTCTGTATTCCCTTTAACTGATTGATAATATTCATGAAGTAAATCACTCTTTTGATTTTCCTTAATATCTTGGATATTCAGTTTCTCTGTTATATTGCACAAACAATATTCTAAATTGTGAGTACTATACAAAGGAAATACCAATTAAAAAAAAAAAAACTTAGATGATTACCTATAACAGCCATGCAAATGTAAAACACCACTAAAACATACAAAGAAAGCTTTACTATAACAAACTCACCTTGACAGGCTTGATATCCTTACACACCATGGTACTGATGTCTTTAGGAGCCGGCTGGAACACCGTTAGGTTACAGAACATGTTGGGAAAACACACCAGAGAACCCAGCAGAGACAGAGCTTCTATCCTTGGAGCCTGCAGGTACAACACACAGCAGATCATAGAACAATCAAAACTAATTACAAATCATCTTCAGAAGCGATTAATACTTGAAAGGATATAGCGTGCTACAAGAGGAAGATAGCAGATAGAACAATCAAAACTAATTATAAACCCTCTTCAGAAGCGATTAATACTTGAAAGGACATAGCTTGGTAGGAGAGGAAGTGGTATTTGATATTTTTTCTCTGGTTTCTACTGTATGGTTGAGGGAAGTTGCAAACAATCACAAAGTGATAAAAACCATGTAAAAGATACGCAATTAAAGATAACAATTGACCAAAGTACAAACAAATAAAGTAACAAAATACACTATATATATGACAGATAAGAAGTGTTGAATCAATAAATCAACTTTCTTTCCAAAACACCATTCCAAAATACAGAGATTTTTATAGTATGTTGTACTTTTTAGCGATTACTGCCAGAAGAGGGCAGGCTGAATTTTACTAATACTGAAAATAGAAAGATATTGAGATAATAAAAAGAGGAAGTGTAACAAAAATATATATATAAACACTGAAACTAAAAATTGAGTAACCAGCACTGATATACATGTATAGCACATTTGGCCTTCCTATTCAGATACATTACCAGTAATCCAATAACATCTTTCCATAAAAATCATCCAGAAACAATTGCAACCCATACAAGTCATGTAATAATAATATTTGGTTCTTGTATAGCGCATATCACACTATACAACGTCTCTATGCACTTCCAAAGATGTACATAATACACAGAATAAATTAGATTATCTCTATTAAATATGAACCACACCTCCAACACTCCTTGAATCCAGTCCAATATTATACTGTTTCCTTGCACTAATCATTCAAGTTCATATAAAGATAGACCTCCACGTATATAATCCAAGCATATCGAGGCACTCCATACAATAACAAAGGGAAATCCAGTAATCCACATATGACACAATGACTAATAGCCTACAGTAGACAATGTTGAATAGAACAATGGACGTTGTGAAACACACAGTGTCACCAGAAATATCTTCAAGTGAGAAACAAATGGTGAATAGAACAATAAAAGGTGTGAAATACACCACCAAATAGTGTTCCTGAAAATAATTTGAAGTGCGAAACATAGCATGTGTACTGTATGTCGCTGCAGCTCACAATATGGTACTCCTGTTCCACAGCTGGTAATACAAATAACTAGTCTTTAGTACACAAATTATCAAGTCCTCATCACGGACAGTATTAAATGATACATATGCAATTCCAAAGCAGCCATGAGGCGCTGTCATCGCAAGATTCAGTTTTTCTGACAGGAAAGGCTCTCACCGACTTGGTATTTAATCTGATGGATAACTGTAGCTCACACAACTGTCATCACTGCATTTAAATAGCCTTGCCCACATAAGCTTGTATCTTGAAAACAAGGATCAACTTTAAATCCCATAATTCTGCTAAAGCAGCTATTAATCATCTCATAAACAAACTATATGTATTACACATCCAGTGCTTGCATTACCTTGATGATAAAACACTTGAAACATGTACAAAGTCAATGAATAATAAATAGTGCATGTGCTCTACATATACGTACTTCCCTGTAATTAATAACGATGTAATAAAGTTATATTGTCCATAAACATCGTCAGTAAAAGGTTGAATTACATGTTGAATCATGCTCTTATTTATATCTTAAAAATACACAGACAAAAATAAAAAATAAAATCACCTTCCCTGCACTAAAAATCTGTATTTATATTATTGAACTTGAACAGTTTCCAAAACTAATTTGTGTACTGTCCTTGATAATCTACAATCTCTAATTAAAGGTACTATTATCATTATCATTATTTTTGTAGGGTGGAAGAGGGGGGTATAGTGCAATATCAAGTCAAAATCCTATGGACACAATAACAGAGAAATGAATATCATTGAAAGGAACATGATATTGATAAATTTGAAGATAAATCATTATTGGTAATACATAATACAATTACCTTCAATTCATTTCATTTAAAAAAAAAGTATTGGACACAGTAATGTGTCCAGGAGAAATCCACTGTCTTTAACATAAAGATTTTAGAAAAGTGGCACAAAACCTATATTTTGTTTGAATTGAATGCATTTAAAGCGCACTTCATTTAAGCATACACTATATACACTGTAATAGGAATGGATAGTATCAATTTGTCATACATATGCTACTGACTAATATGAGTTATTGCCAGAGTAATAAAGTGGTTTCTACTTTTTGAAAGTTATATATCAATGGGGAAGTCCAGACCTGTCCTACCTTTTGTACGTACATGTGCATAGTCAGTCATGCACACAACATTTATTCCCTTTTCTGATTTTAACATTTTATAACCATCTACACTGTATTTTTTTGTTTCTTAAATGTTCAGGCAAGAGCCTCATGACATAAGAAAATTAAAATTCACAGATAAATAATCCTATAACCAAACAACTATAAAATGTTTAATGTACATCGCACTTCTATGAGCAAAATGGGCTTGACTTGAACCCCTTTAAGAAATATATGTTGAATCAATATGACGTATTTGTCAATAAAAACCAGGGACAAAAGTAATTATGCGTATATAAATTATATTTAATAATAATAGCACTGTACAAGGTTTTAATGCTGTTGTTTTTGCAGGTACTAAGCTAACGCATTTGGCAGAAATGCTTACAATGACATGCCTGCATCATATTTTAACTCATTAACACTATTTTTTGCAGCATGTATGACAATACCAACTTCATTTCAACATTATGATGATAGACCTACACATTATTACTTACAATGTTTATTTTACCAGGAACCTATAATTTACAAGCACTGCTTTTCAATATATGTTCTTCACATTCCACTTAATCTATCATACAAATTGAGATTCGCTGAGATGTGTTCATATATATACTACATGTATTGTATATATATATATATATATATATATATATAATTTCTATTTTATATGTACGTCTATATTTTTTGAAAATGTGGAACAAATGAACTTGAAAATTGAAACATGTAACTCTTATCTTGTTTAATTTTTTTTTCTTCTTTAAATCTAATAAATTTAATGAGTTTTACATGCTCATGAACACATAAGGTGAGTCAAGTTCTGAAAACGAATTTTGAAATGGAAATAAAAAATTCTATAACTGCCATGTTTTGTTTTGAATGATGATAAGAATCCTGTTGAAACAAAGTCAAAGGGGCAAGGTGTTTGTTTAACAAAGGATAAACGTAAGGCAGCATCCTGAAAATGCTTAGTAGTAGTGCAAACTACACATACAGTGCATGCTATACCATAAGAAGCAAACTTCACAAGTCATAAGAACTAATGATAATTTCATTGCATACAGTAGTAGATTTTCTTGAAAATATTTCCCGAACAGCCATATTTGTCATCTATTTTCCAGCAAAAAAACAACTCGTCAGGGACGATATGCATGGGTATGATACTGTACTTTTTCCAACACCCTCTTCTTCTACATGCATCTTCTTATTATTTCTTTCCTTTTTGTCTATTTCCTTTCTGAACAAAAAAGTATGTTGTGTATACGTCTTCCCAATCTCATCTTTTCTCTCTATCTTTACCTCCACATATCTTGTCAGCCTCTTTCTCTCTCTCTCTCTCCCTCTCTCTTCACCTGCAAATACATGTCAGCCTCTCTCTCTCTCTCTCTCTCTCTCTTTCTCTCTCTTCACCTCCAAATACCTGTCACTCTCTCTCATTTTCTCTCTTTTTCTCGCCCATTCTCTTTCTATCTCCACGACCCTGTATTGTTCTCTCTCTCTCTCTCTCTCTCATTCTTTCTCTCCATTTCCAGATCTCCTTCACTCTCATACATATATATATATATATGTGTGTACTTACATCTAGATCAAAGTTGGCCGTTATCATGTTAGCTGCTTGAATGAAGTCCAGTATTAGGAGGGTAGCTCCTGGCAAGTCACAGTAGAAGAAGTCAGGAGCACTGTATTGCACAATAGTATTGATCACATCCTAGAAAGACAACAAAGAGAACAAACACATTGTCAAATGTAAAATTTAGCAATTATAAGGTAAACTGGAAAGATAACTATTGCCTTTAAATATTTGAAACAGTGACTATCATTACAAATAAAAATCAAGTGTTATTAATACTAAGATACTATACGTTGTAGCACTCATGCTTTTCCAATACAATTTGAGTAGACAATTTAAGGTGACCTTAAAAAATAATCCATGTAATGCCGGTCTGTTCAGATAGTTAAATGGACTGTTACAAGGAAAATAGAAATAATTGATTTGACTTCAATGGAACTGAATGGAAGTGACAACCAATAAAGTATTAAAGACCAAATCTACTTCCATTATTATCATAGACATGAACAATGTGTGGCTGATACGGGTTGTTATATCTAAAACCAATCTCTGGTCACTAAGTCACAAATATTCAAGCCTGTCCACAACAAATGGCAAACGAGGGGCAAACAAATTTGGTAAAATGTTGCTGCGATGCAACATCAAACACCGATTTCACAATCTCACCTGATCTACGATCAAATCTACTTCCATTATTATCATAGACATGAAAAATGTGTGGCTGACACGAGTTGTTATGTCTAAAACCAATCTTTGGTCACTAAGTCACAAATATTCAAGCCTGTCCATAAAAAACGGCAAAAGAGGGGCAAACAAATTTAGACAAATGTTGCTACAATGCAACATCAGACAACACTGATTTCACAATAATAATAATAATACTAATAGGCATTTCTATAGTGCCGTCTATCTAGAAATTCTATTCCGAGGCGCATTTATTATTACCCCGGCTTTAGTCTAGATGCCATTACAGCGGTCTAGCATTTCAAGGAATTGATTCCTGCCAATCTCACCTGATCGGTTCCAACCAGTCCAAAGTGGAGGACTCTGTAGAAGTGGACCAGGTGTTCCTTGGGGAGGGGATGTTCCTGCCGTCGTACCGTCATGGCACAGAGCTGCTTGTACGCAGACAGCCTGCCGTGCTGGTAGCCGACAGGGAGGTAGGTCGCTCTGAAGAGCCAGGGAGAGAAGAGGAGGAGGGGTGGAATGTTCTCTGGAGGAGGGGGTGTGGTCTGGTTGTCCGTACTGATGCCTTGGTTGTCACGGATCTGAGTGGAGGGGGGAGGGGGGATAGATGATCCGGTCACTGACTTTGATACTTCTTTAAACAAAAAATCTTGGTCTAATTATTACAGAGAAAAAAATCTTCAGCATGTCAAGGCACTATGGTATGTTTTTCACTTTCAATGTTGATCAAGGGTCGGTCTCCATTACCAGCACACAGCTATAAAAAACTCAAAATTAGACACTTTTTATGAATTTTTTTTCATATTTTTTTTTTTTTTTTTACTCAAGTGCAGTTTAATGGTGTCTTGATAGGTAATTAAAAATCACTACGAGGACAACAAAGCTCTTACAAATACAATCAGCTAGAGCAAGGGTAATGAATTACTTATCATGAGATAAAGAAAAACAATTGTTAGCATTACACATAAATCAACTTCCATAACAGAAACAAAATTCCCATTTCACCACCAATTCTCTATCAAACTAAGAAAGTAACATTCTAGTATACTGCATATTGAAAATCAAGATCACCCACATGCATATAGATCAAGTCTTGACACCTTACCTTAGCTAGCATCTGCCAGATGGCCCACAGACATTCTAGGACCACCCAGTGAAGTCTGGGATCACTAATCTGATTGATGTCACCGAGAATACACAGCAATCTCCTCCACACTACCACCGCAACATCAGGATGCCATCCTATCCGGGTACCTCCCGACATCACGCTGGCATCGGGTCTTTGAACGGATCCATTTTCCCCTAAATAAGGTGAGTTTTTGAACAAACAGAAATACAGATAAGAGAAGTCTCTGAATATTCATACTATGGGGCCTGCTGCTAGAAACCACCATAAGTCTATCATTGTTGCCACCCTCTTCAAACTCATGGTAAATTTAAAACCCATATTTGAAAGGGATGTCAAAAACAAGACTTAGGACATTCATTTTTTGCAATATAATCTAGCTTGTCATACACTGCAGTATATGATTTAATTTTAGGAGTGCAATTTTTGTGAAACTATTTTACATTTCATTACATATCAATTACACTTGTATCCTTTGCTAATATCAAGGATCAACCATATAAACTTTAAGTGATAAGAGTAACGACTAACCTATTACTCCTGAATCAGTCGTATCTCCAGCTAGGTCCATCCTATCCTCTATATTGATATTTTGATCCTCTTCCTCCATCAAGGGTGATTCTTTGGCAAGATCAACGATGTCTCCATTATCGTTCAACACTCCAATGATTGGCGTGTCCCTCGAACTCCCATCCGAGTTATAATGATTATTACCCCCGGGCGACGTATCATCCGAGTTACAGAACCTGAGACCGCCCGGCGATGTCCCTTCGTAACCAAAGTGAGGCGTGGTTGACACCGGCGTCACACTGCCACTGCCCCCTGAATGGTACGAGTGCACTCCTATATTGACCTCCTGGTCTATCTCCTCAATGAGACTGCTGGTAGGTGTGAGGCGGTTGATGTCTGTAGGGGTGGTGGGACTGGAGTCCGGCAGAGGCACCTCCAGGGAGTTTTCGTCAAGGCTCAGGTTGTCCGGGTGATTGATGAGCGGTATGCTACTCTGGCTCAGGCTCAAGTCATCTAGCATCTTATCATTCTCACCTGAAAATAAGGGCCACAAATACAAACTTGTAAAAAAAGAAATTCATACAATTCAACATATTTTGTCTTTAACAATAAAACTTTTGATGACCAACAATGACACATAATGATATATGACAAGCAATGATAATTACTGGTACACAAACAATGCATAATTATGTTTGCATTACAATACAGAGCATTTCTTTCAGTATGGTGAGTAATGAGTACCAATGAATATGATTCATTTGCAATGTTGAAATATTTGGCAGGTTAACAAAAGAAATATGAAAACCAGAGTAAGTGTAAAGACAACAGAGATGTATGAGCATTAATATCACAGACAGAACCAATCCAGGAGACCACAAATGATAAATGACAAATGTTAACCAAAAGAAACGATGTAATGTGAAGAGCGATGGTGCATACCATTCTCCGATGGATGTTGTTGCCTGGTTACCAGAGGAAATGTGGTTGATTTGACCATGCCTTCTACCCTCTCTCCATCTTCTGAGCAGGATGGTGTATTATGGAATAATCGGATATGAAATGGAAAAGATCCATGAAATGGCATGATGCCCATGAAATGAATATGATCAAATATAAGCCTCTTTATCCATGATATAAGTTAATGTAAGCAGTGATTAAAAACAGATTACTAAAGCAAACACCAAATTTTGATATTGCAATGATTGAAACAACTGAGTCCTTATTATACCAGCTGCTTGAAAAAAATTGATATGACACAGCAAAACCGGGGCAGTTTCCCTTATGACGTAAGCTGTAATATGCTTCACAAATCTGTATGTCCTTTGTTTTTGTTGCGCTCAGCTGCCATGCAATAACCCTTTTTTTTTTAAAGGGGCGGCTTATTTGCGGCATTGTACCACGCCACATTTGAAAAAGCCTTAAGTCCATCCAACATCCCTGAAAGTTTGTGCAGCTTCACCGTTTTCAATTTCTGCCAATTGCAATTAATCTAGCAAAACAAGCATATCAATAACATTTTCAAACAATCTTAGTTACATCAAAAGCCAAGTTCAAGAAAATAATAACTATTCTCTGCCTCCTGAGAGTATTCTACAAGCCCATTTTAGGTAAGGCCTCTACATAAGTAATTACTACTGGTGACCCTCAAGATTGCCAAAGGGTTGTCTGACATATAATGTCAAGCATCACATATCACTAGGCTATTTGGAAATAAAAATCCATACATTGGCATACACATGTAAACTGGTTTATTCTTCAAATCTGCACAAGTCAGAAGACTTTAAAAGATCCAGTAAAGAACAAACAAAACAAAGGCCTTGCCTCAAGCAATTCCTCAAATTCTGCACCGAACGTAGGAAATCACTGACCTTTATTTCTCTGGAAGTTGAATCCATCAAAGAGCTCTCCCTCACTGCTACTCCTGGGTATCTGGACGGAGGCTACCAAGGTCTGTTCCTCTCTTGTGGCTAATGAGGGATCCACAGTCAAGGAACGTTGTCTTGTTAGGTTGAGGTTAGGGTGTGACGAGTGTAATGAGATTACATCACCTGTTAGAGGGAGGGATAAGGTTGAGGGAATATGTTAGGGGGTTGCCCAGGAGATGAGATTGTACAAAGCCAGCTTAAATATGGAATATAAGATTCAAGATTATTTTATTGGTCCATGCCTGCATTGAAATTTTGCTTCCAATGGCTTTTTTGACAGTGAAAATACAATACAAAATTTAATTATAGAAAACGATGTACATAAATATGGATAATTATTTATAAGTTACATTGTTTGATGATTTCTTGAGATTTTATAATCATAACATATAATATGTCCTTTAAATTTACTGTGCCTTATCAAATGTACCAATCTTTCACACTACACAGAATTTTTCAGAAAAGAAAGGAATCTAGGGTTCATAGCATTAATGTAAATGCCAAAAATAGGAATGGATGGCAGTTTTGCCTTATAAGCTATAAGGCAATTTTTCTGTCCTAATTCTTCCTGGATCAAACTTTAGTCTTTATCAAGTAATTTGTTGTATTAAATAACTTGACAGCAAAAAGTAATAAAAATCTTCATTTCATAGATATTGCAATGTTTGGGGTGGAAATTGTGTTTTACAGACTACTCAGCATGAAATTGCAATTATAATATAAAGCTGGTTCCATGAAAGGGATATTCATAACTAAAGCAAATATGATCTGGATATGCAAATACAAAAGACAAAACTTTGAAACAAGATTGACAATATCTAGATGTCATTTCAATCGTTCTACATTGATATTGCGAGTGTCATAAAATTGCCAAGGAGAGCAAAAAAACAGCAAGAATATTTGTGTTACAAGAAACCTGCTCTTATGAAAATCAGATTTGTACATGGCCTATTGCGCCTGAATACAAGACTTCGTTATTCAGGGGTTGAAATGACCAAGCATGCAGTTTATATAGGTGGTTGGGTGACAATGAAAGAAACATTGGTTTGTCTCTTCATAAAACTAACCCATCCACCATGATGGCCTACTGAATATTTGCAGCAGGCATATTGGGTTCTATGATAAAACTGCACAATATTCAAAGAAACAACTTCTTTGCTGCTTTAAATCTTATAGTTCATTCAGCTTTTGAACTTTTGACACCGCAACCAATTTTCAACTGCTTAATGTTGATGTGTGGTGTGATCATTTAGATTCTGGATGCATCAGGTACATTTGAGTCATATTTACATTTACAAGAGTAGAAGTAAAGGTTAGTGTAAATCTGTATCCAAATAAATATAGAAAATGGATGAAGTTACACAAACTTAAAAAGAGAGAGTAGCCATATCTGTATAAATTCTGATTACAAAATGATGGTAATTGTACAGATAGAAGAGGACGTAAAATCAGTGGACTAACTCAAGCCACTAAGTCAGTGATTATTAACCAGTTAAATATTAGTTTACTTCCAAGAGTACCAACCAACCAAGCTTGCTTGCATGAAAATAACACTCTTTTCTTTTTGTTTGTATTGAACTGTATGCAATTTTTTTTTTTTTTTTTTTTTTTTTTGGGGGGGGGGGGGGGGGGGGGGCTCTTTTATGCCTTTCGGGGGGCTTTGTGGGGCGTCTCAGGGGCTATTTCACCCGAGCCCCCATATATTTTTGTCTCCGTCTCTTACCATCCTTCTCACTCTGCCTCATCTCCCTGATCCTGGTGAGATCACTCTGGCTCCCGATGGTGTTGAGCTTGTTCCTCTTCCTCTCCAGCTCCTCCATGGTGTTGGGAGACGTCGAGTCGCAGCGGCTCCACCCCCTGGAGAAGGAGCGCTCGTGCATGCCCTTCTTTATCAGGTCGGCCGCCTGGAGGGGTGGCTGGCGCCCTGTGCCCCGCAACCGCTTCTGCTTCTGCTCGGAGAGCTTGTCCAGGGGCAGGTTGCTGAGGTCTAGGTGATAGACCCGTCTGGCAAGCACTCTGGTCAGGGTCTCCATGGTTCTCTGTGGAGTGATGAGAGAGGAATAGAGAACATTTATGAAACTTGGATGGAATATTCAAACTTTACAAACAATTGTCCTCGGTATTTGATGATTTTTTTTTTTTGGATCCTCAATGTAATATAATCGGTTAAATAATTGGTTAAATACTGAATTCGAACACTGATCAAACTCCCAATTTAATCCCTGGTTGTGACACGAACTAACCCTAACTCTAAATCTAACCTTAAACTCAATCAGAACGCAAGTGCTTCCTTTAACTAAAGCCTGGAGCAAACGTTATTGAACCAAATTTTGAATTACTTCTGAAGCCATATTATCATAAACTCACATAGATTTAAATGAGATAACACAGATACACCACAAATATTTACTTGCAATCCACAGCAAGACACTGTTAAAAATATAGGAAAACAAGAGGTACTTACATCATTACTTGGGATCTACATAATTGTCACCTTTTAGTTGCAACACTTTGGAAGAATAGCACTTCCCAACAACTTAGAATTGTATCTTACTTTCCCATCCCCTGAAACCTAAGAATTCTGAAAAATAGCTTAAAGGAGTTAACCAATATTCTACCTGAGCAGAGATGCCAACCTCTTGACACAAAAAAATAGACTGAGTATCCTAAAAAATCAGAGTTTGGAGAGAAAAATCAGATTTTCACGAAAAAAATTGACACTACCACTGGCCAGTCGGCCCCGGGCTAGTAAAATTTCAGAAAAATGTTTGCTCTATCATTAAAATTTAATGAGAAAATTGTACAGCAAAGTTTTTGTTGAGGTTGGGGGGATTTACTTGTACATGATTCTGTGCGATTCCGCTGTTTTTATGGTTTAAACAAAAAATTATGAATTATTTCTTTTTTTTGGAAAAAAAAGATGAAAAATCATATTTTCAGATTTTAAGATCGTATTTCACTCTTAATATCATACTAAATATGATTTAATCGTACTGGTTGGAATCTCTGAGTTAACCAATATTCTACCTGGTAAACCTGAAGGCAGTGTAATGATAAGAGGATATTGACTGAACGACACTTACCGACCACTCCTTGATAAGCTCCTCCCAATGAGTGAGTGATGATAGCACTCTGAGGAAGTCTTCCCAAAGACTGGTGGACACCTGGATCTCAAGGTTGGCTTTGATCCAGGTTACGATCAAGGTCTGTACAACATGACAAGAACAAAGAGACAATCAGACTGACCAGCCCATCATATCATTTATCAATAGGCAGAAGGATATTTACTCTACGTTAACATATATGAGTTAAAGGTAAAGACCAGTATTGGAAACGCCCCCATTTCAAAAAATGAAATGGAAGCTCTTATTACCAATCATGTGAAAGAATATGTTTTGACTAATACATGATGATAAAAATGTTGCCGGGAAATTAGTTTATCTATTGGCCTGTGAGAGATAAATGCATGTGTCGCGCACATGTGCGTAGTCCCATATACATCTTTCTGTGTACAGTGCTTGTAACTTTAAGAAGACTGGGCCAAATTTCTTATCATTTTGATGATTCCAGAACCTTGCAGTACACACCAATACTTATATGCTAGTTGATCAACCTTTTCTGATCGATTCCACAACGTTTCTTTCACAATGCAATCGTATGACCATAACTGGTCTTTAGCTTTAATACCCTTCTGGATCTCTAAACTCTTAACAGACAATATCTGGCCTTGAAGAAGATAAAAACTTATTTTTATTCAAACTGAATACACTATGCTTTGAATTTGAATGTGATGTAAAATACTTTTTTTTCACAAGTGTTTGGTGAATACTGAAACGATGGAGTAAGAAGAGAGCAGTGTTACAGATACTTCATCAAAGCAGCAAATAAATTTCAAAATGTAGAGATATCTATGGATAAAAATGGATTAAAATATAAGTTAAAACTATTTAGAAGAGTCCAACAACAGGCGAATAGAAGACCACACATAAGATTATAATATCCTAAAGAATCAGTCGGTCTGGAGTCAGTATAGAGTTGCTTTGGCGGTGTGACTGAGGTATCAAGACTGCTTGTAATCAGTTAACAGGCTACTTACTTGAAAGAGTATATGCGCCAAATGTTGGCCAAGGGCAAGACGAGGTTTACTGGGTGTACCTCCCAAGATACCCTCGGTCACTCGGAGTAATACCATCAGAAGCTGATCCCTGTAAAACACAAACAATTATCAAAATGTCACATATTCATCAACCACATGAACTATACAAAAAAAAATCATCCCCCTTTAACCTTTTCTCCACTGGACAGTATATGTATTTTGGTTTGTATCTTACTATTTGAGCACAGATTTGTCAGGTCTAACTGGGTATACAAAAATGATAGCAGCTTCAAAAAATGGATAAATATTAAGAACTCCCCCTTTTGTAAAACTGCCATTGGTTTAATTATAATATAATCATAAATTCATTTTTAAACAGGATAATTATCATACCTACATCTACATTGCATCAGATTTAAGTCGAAAAACATGAATCTTTTAACCTACAATAAAAGAGGAAAAGAATCTTGCACAAAAAGACCTTGTAAATAATATCAAATTTTAATACTACATAGACTAAAGACCATGGCCCCGTCTTATAAAGAGTTGATATCAATCGTAACTATGCACAAGTCTGCAAACTTGCGATCGGTTGGAGGACTTACGATTGATTGGGAACAATCGTAACTCTTTATAAGACGGGGCCCTGATATAGAAAGTATGGCCACTTCACTCACCAGGTAGTTTTCTCCAACTTGACGTTCATAACGATATGTCTGTAGCTACCTAGCACCCTCCTGCAGATGTCCACCTGATCTCTGATGGGATGGATAGGGTCGGGGGCACCCGATGACCCTCCCCCGGGCTCCAGCAGAAACACATTGGAGGAGTTGGTGATGAATACCTGAAGAGAAAAAGAGATGTAGCTCAGTGAAGAAATCAGGGTTGCTAAATGTATTAACAGAGGACAGACAGGGATGATAAATACTAGATTAAATAGCAACATAAAATGTATGCAGAAACTTTTTGGAAGGGAAAAACAAATCTGTAAGTGATGAAGCTAAAGTGTGACCAAATGTCTTTCATCGTAAGAAAGAATATGAATGAAGATATTTGAAATGGTTGGCATGGATATCTTTCATTTCAGTTAATAATAACTTGGGCAAAAAAACTTGCAGAACTAAAATTTATTTATATGCAGCTACTTACTCACAATTCTGTTTATCTGATTCACTACTCCATTAAAAATCCTTACATTTTGGTTATTCCTATCTGGTTAGGTCATTGACTAAGTCATTAAGTCGATGACTTACCTGGACTACTCTCTGCAGCCCAGCACCTACATTGCACTTGTTCATGTCATCTCGGATGGCTTGGTTGATTGCACCGATGTACGAGTTACTGCGTTTAGCTTTGGTTCCATCAGAGGAAACTGATGGGCTCTTAACCAATGGTGGACCCCTCGTTTCGTTCTGAAACAGAGAAAAGCCGTTCATTACGAGATATTTTTTAATTTGAAAGTGCTTTTGACAAAAACAAAATTTAAAGAGGCACAATGCAGATGATGGCTGCAAAGCATTATTGGAAAAAAAATGTTATTGATGGTACATGTGTGATATTCTAACTGGAGTAAACACATTCCCATAACTTTCTGTATTTGTCTGAATCAAGTAATTAGTAGGGCTATCAGCTTAATACAGTCCTCAGATATACTGAAATCTTGGATAGGGTGAGTAATGTCTGGAACAAGATAATGCAGCTTGGTCTTGCCCAGATACATAGCAGAAATCAAACATAAACAACAGAGATAGTCATATTCACCATCCCAGCGCTCACCTCCACATCTGGCAAGTACCCTGCAAACGTCTTATCGGCCGACTCCGAGGAAGGGCTATCAATCTCGGAGAGCCCGCCCTCTTGTGATGTCCCACCTTCCTGAGATCCTTCCAGGATGGAACTGATCTGACTGGTCAGAGAGGCCGGAGGTTCAAGCCTCTTGACCTCATTCTCTCTCTTCGCCTCATCTTCCTCCTCAGGCTCCTCCATGAAAACAGGCTTGACCATCGAGTTCTAAAGAGACAAATTGAATGTCAAAGGTCATGCATCGAATCGTGTTCCATGGACCCAGTCACATAAATGAAATACTTGGTGATGTCACTTCATATTGATTTCATGTATGGATGATAGTAAGAAATATTAAGTAAAAAAGGGGTCATTGCAGGGACGTTCAACAAAATTCGGTTACACTTTAAGCCGAGACGCCAAGTTCAAAGATCGGCAATGCGTGACATTTTCATGATTCGGCGCGCACGTATAAGGTATAGCGTTTTTTCAAAATCTAGCGCGTGCGTCGTGCGTAAGAGCATTTTCAGACCCTCGAAATGCGTGATGTCATGCCTAAAAGTTCTTGAAAATTTGTCAAGTTGGGGGGAATCTTTAATCCAAAAACAAGTATATCTTACACTGGGCTTGTTACACAATGCTTCAGTGTTTTCATCTTTTTTATGTCAATGGTATAAAGCTTTGACATTCAGAAAGAGATTTGACTTTCACTGCTTAATTCTTTGGAATGATTTTGTCAGGTTTCATCTAAATATAATTTGGGGTTTGTTGCATCTTCAAGTACCACCAAAACAAATACATAGAAATTCTTACGTAACGATTCACTTCAAGAACTGAATATCAATTTCAGCTAGTACCATCATGCAGTGAGCAATACATTTGTTGTTTGCATAACTGCTTTCCTCTCTGTAAATGCATTAATCAAAGATAAAGTTAAGCTCTCTTAAAGTGATTACAACATGAAAGAGATTTGCGACAGCTGAGAAAGACTGATTGCATATCAGTGAATACCAAGGACTATATAAACATGCGGCATGAAAGTTTGGTCCAAACTTTTTAGTTATTACTGGTCATGTTTTGAATATGAGGGCATTTGAAGAGCAATCTCTTTCAGGGAAGGTTTCTTCTATGATGTTCTTCCAAACTGATGTTTAAGAAAATGAAAAAGCAAAATTTTTGTTCACCTCTACCAGATTTAAACCTCTTCTCGGAGACAGAACTTTGTTAGCTACTATTCTACAAAAATGAAGCTTTGAAGTAAGTTCTTACCTGTATCCACTCATTGTAGACTTTCAGAGAGAGCTTCACAGCCTTTGACTCACTCATTGGTAGGAGGAAGCCCTAGAAATAAGAACACGTATAAAAAAAAATGATAATCTGAGAAAAACAGAATAACAATACGAAAGTAAGAAAAATTACTGAAGACATACACAAATATAAGGAAGTAAGAATTATTAAACAAGACATAGACAAAGATATGGAAGAAGAAACAAACAACACAATATCCAATAAGCGAGTTCGTAATTAGGATTCGCGCATGGGCAGATAAAGGTCATACGTTCCCAAATAGTAAAACCAGCGAGACGAATGCTGGTATCGTGCTCATGAAAGTTATGTAATCAGTACTCTCCTATGCACCGACAGTACATTTATCTGATACACAGGTGGAAGTATTCTTCTCAAGAGGCAAACAAAAGGTATTCATGAAGCACCTCCATCACTTCACCAGTGAGTATTCTAAAATGCACAAGGGGGACGTTTCCATCGTGTAAAAGATCTGTGGATATTTGAGGGTCATGCGTTCCTAAGCTATTTACGAAGTGGCTTACTCTCTAGGAACAGTTCACAGTTCACGGATGCACACTAAATGATAGAAAGGTAAGGCTCTGTTTTTCTTGTAAACACCAAGCAGAAAAATTATTAAGAAAAATGGATGTTAAGTGGACTGACCAATGCCCTTGGAAATGGGTTAACAAAAGTAAATGACTAAGTCCATGCATTTACTGGGTAACCCATTCACATTCAATCACTTTATCCCTTAGAGTTAAACTCCTAGGTCCCCTTAGACTCATTGAACACGCATATAGTTCGATACGGGTTAACTCAGTACAAGGGTCAGCTTGGATTCGTCAGATAATTGTGGCCTTGTTTTCCAAGAGAGCTTCATCAGTTGTGAAGACTTGTGTGAATTTTGCACTAATCAGCCACTTTGCTACCCGCATTCAAGAATATCCGATGGGAAAGTGTAAAATAATGACCTCAAAAAGGCAATATTGAAAACTTCAGGAGGTGGAATTCTACAAAACTTGGATTTCATAACATTATGTAGAGGTCTGGGCCCTGTCTAATGCTACGGTCACAAACGTTCGTATGAACAAAAATATCGTACAAATCTCCGTTTTTCCATTATCTGAAAATCATTCGTACGGCGTTCATAGCAGTTCGTAATGGCATTTGTGACCGAGTTGCGATTGATCCAAATCAATCGTAAGTCCTCTAATCAACTGCAAGTTTGCAGTCTCCTATCTCTTATGTACACAGTTGAGATTGATATCAATCGCTAATAACTTGCAATTGAAATCAACTCTTTGTAAGACAGGGCCTGGTGTATAGCTTGCACCTTAACTTTTGACACAGAATCGCCAAGCAGTAATAACTTTTTGCCCTACTGCCAAGTTAGCCCAACCACTTGCCATCATGTCATTCAAATTCATTATTTTCCTCTTCTTCCTCCTCTTCCTCTTTTTCTTCTTCTCCTTCTTCTTTTTCTTATTATCATTTCTATCATCAGTTTAATGTTGTTAATATTATCATCATTACTATCTTTAATAAGTTTTGTTCTTATCTGTCTGTAAATATTACTATTTTAACTTAATTAATTTTGTACATGTATGTCAGGGACCCCACTGGAAATAAGCTCTTGAGCTTTCGTGGGTTATCCGGTTCAAGCTGACTTAATTTTGATCTGTTATTCTTGTATATTGTTGTATTTTGGAAGCTTGGCGAAATAAAAAATTAATCAATAAATCAATCAAGTCAATTCAAGAAGAAAGCTACCTACCTGTCTGAGTACTTCCTGGACAAAGTTGATGTTATCCCTGGTGGAGTAGAGCACCCTCTGGACCAACTCCCTCCCAGAGCTCTCCAGGTCATCCTGCAGGGGCAGGGCTAGGGAGATGGTGCTGGCGCTCAGGGACAGGGTGGAGTTGGGGCTGATGGTCGCTGATGAGGAGTTAGAGGAGTCGCCGCCCTCTTTCAGCAGCATGGTGTCCAACTTGCGTTCCAGAGAGTCTTTGGTGTTGAGCTCTGGCTTGTCCGTTAAAAAACTAACGGGGAGAAAGGGAACCATTTACGAGAGGATCATTAAAGCCTGTCTGTACTAGTTTGGCCAGGAGGGATTAGACCACCCAGCGTGGTCACTGTCAGGTGGCTATCTCATCAACTCAGCCCTCAATTAAACTAAGAAAAAGAGGATCATGGGGGACCAACGAGCACTAATACCAAATGAAAGAGCTGGGGCCTGTTTCACAAAGCATTTTTTCAATGACAAAAATCAGTGACAAATCTGCTGATAACCAATCAGAAGCAAGGATTTCAGTAGCTTAAAACAAAAACTGTCATTTGTCACTGATGCCAATTTTTGTGAAACGCCCCCCTGATTTTACAACTATGCCAACCATTTCATCATGGCATATATAATATCCAAGCTGATAGTTATAATACGGGTGGGGGGAGGGAAGCAGAAGTATGAATTTGATGCAACCATTTCTTTTTTCCAACTTACCTTGACTTGTTCTTGTGTGTGGTTATAAAACTGACCACCCAGTTGACCACACTGACCCGACACGCAGCCAGATTGTTAGTATAACTGGATCCGACGCTGTTGCCAGTACTTCTAGCTCTGGGAATTTCTACATAGACACAGGTATATGAAGAGCAGTGGGGAAAGAAAATGTTAGAATGTCCTGAGTGAGGACTGATACAGGCAATAATGAGGGACCTTGAGCCTTGACATATCTCAAGTCTTTTAAGATAGATATTGCAAAACGTCTAGAGAAATGCTACAGAATTTGCTAATTATACAATTTAACACAAAAATAAATAGCAATCTGAATGCATCACCTAGAATATTGAACATAAATTAAGTGTCTCACATCAAAAATAATAAAAATCAACTCTTAAAAGACATATTAAAGGGATATGCAGCCCCATCGACAGAAGAATACACAAAACTCATCTGTTTGGAGCCAGAAGGATGTTAAATTATATACCTTAACACAAAGTTAATGCCCCTCTGGCTCTGAACAGACATCTCTGATCTCAATTCACCCCCCTCCCCCTCCCCTACCCTTTCCCCTTCCATCCCTTCTAAGATCTAGTGCTTTAACAATCAAATACCTAATATTGGGCTGTACAGACTGGTGCTATGAAGAAATTCAGGGAATATATGTGGCAAGTAGAATCCCTTGAAGTTTTCCAGCAGGAAGATGAATGCCTCGTCCTTCATGCTTACATCAGACCATTCCACTCTAGGAACCTGCAAATGGAGAGGGGACATCAATGTTAATACAGTGAAACCTGTATATAAAGACCGCTCAAGGGAAACGGGGAAAATGGTCCTTATAGGTAAGTGGTCTTTAGGAGTGTCGTGGTTGAGTGGTTTGAGGTGCTTGACTGGAGATGCGAAGGTCGAGGGTTCGAATCCTGACACAGAACTAATATCCTTTGGCAAGATATTTACCTGCACTTGCTAATCTCCACCCAGATGTAAAATGGGTACCTGGTAGGATGCGAAAGTTCATGTGGTTGGATGAGCAAGTGTGCGCTTGTAAAATGGCGACTGGCTGGAATGCTCCCCAGGGAGTGGAAAATGTGCATACATTGTGTGCGGGTAAGCCTGAATCTGATGACCGGGGTAATAATATATCTGTAAAGCGCTTAGGCACATTGTTGTATCGATGTATTGGGCGCTATATAAAAGCGGAAGATTATTATTATTATTTAATGTAGAGGTTCCTTTAGTACAGGTTTCAATGAGAAACCATATTCAAGCGAAATAAAAAAGGTCTTTAAAAGGTGGTCTTCCTATACAGGTGGTTGCTAAAGCAGGTTTGACTGTATAAAGTAGAGATAAAGTATGATATTTTGAATACATTATATTGCAATTAAACCCCTAACATACAGATCAAAGTATTTGTTTGTACAATGATGAAAAACACTTAAGCATCTAGTCTGTTTGGCATACAAATTCTACTATAAAGCCCTACACAAAAACACTACATTAAATGTGAACTGCATGGGCCAGTATATTGTCATAATGACATTTTCATAAACATCTCCTAGTATGAACCAACTATTAAAGGTTTATGTGGGACCAATCATTGTAGAAATTTTTTTTTTTTTATAACATCAGCAAGCTTTCCAATGTGATCCAAATTGAAATAAGACATAAGACAAATTGCATAAGACATAAGAAATAATACCCACTCTTTAGAGACATAATCACACTCTTTAGAAAGCATTATTCCAGAAGCTAAGAGAAGATCAATATATCAAATATTCTGTGCTACAAAGTAAAAGCATTAATGGCAATAAGAAGAAAAACAAATTCATCTTGACATATGAATGAATACCGACATTCATGTACACATCTACATGTACATATTTACGCATAATCACGAGTGTCTAACATTACACACAGATGCGATGTATATGTTCTAGAATACTGCGCTGTACATACCTGTGTGACTGTGTGTTTGAGTAGGCTTTCAAGCAGTAGTTTGGTGAGGTTTTCTGTCGGTTTCTCTCCCGGCTGAGCAGGGACTATAGGGTTGATCTCTACCTCAAGAATAGGACCTAGTGGAAGAATGAGAGATAAATAGATGGAAATAAGAAATTGTCCTAAAATACATTTCAAAAGGTGATATCAAAGAAATATCTATTTTTTAATCTTCTGTAGACTAAACTAGGATAAAAGCTTAATAACAATTTTTTTCTTTTTCTACTATATGATTAATATATTGACCCCACATTTTTTTTTGGGGGGATGAGGTGTAATATGAAGATGCCTATCAAAAATACAGTCATGAAACTGCCATTCATGCAAGGTTCAAAATCCTATTTGTCCATTTACGAGCAATTACATTGAAAATATCCTTAATACCTTTGAAAAACAATTCAAAACAGCCAAATGGAATGATAAGCATAAGTGTGTGTCAATGGGAAAAATTCCTTTATGACAAATTTCAACTGTCTGAACCCTTCTTGTGGATACTCTGCATTATGGTTACTATGGTAAATAGGATTAAAACGTTTAATTTGTCCATTGACTACCCAATTCTTTAATCCCCACAGGCTTAATACTGGAAATAGCCAGCTCCCTCCCATTGGGCAATGTACAGACCTTTTATATTGTGTGTACATGTATGCTCCCATTTACTTACTGTCAAAGTTAGGGGACGTCCTGGAGTTGTGTGTCATGACATGCTCCAGGCTGCTGCCATAGATCCCTGTAGGGACTGGGAAACCTGGGACCAGGGTAGCGTACATCAGGTAGCACTCTTCGGAAGCATTCTTCTGGAGGATCTGGAACCAGAGGAGGAACAACCGCATCCCGTCCATCCGATGCTGCATGGAGAAAAATAAGAGGTGTCGGTGTCAATACCTGTGTTTAATGTCAGGGGCAATTCCAAATTTCCAATATCAATTATAGTTGTTTCAATATCAAGAACAATGACAAACACATAGGCCCGAATTCACAAAGGAGGTTAAAATTTAACCCATGGTTTGAATCTTCATTTACATAATGCATGGTCTAAAATGAGCGCAAAATAAGCATGACACACAGTCAAGGGTCCAATATTAGATGCGCGCAAGGCAAGTTACGCTTTTAAACCATGGGTTATGTAAATGAGGGTTTAAACCTTGGGTTAAGTATTTGAGCCATTAAAGTTTTCTCAAAGGATGCTTTGTATAAAGAAAGATGAAAATAATTTATGTACAGTGTAGTCTGTGGTTTTAAGATCCCTCCCTCTCTTTCGCTCAAATCCCTCCTCCCCCTCCCTCCCTCCTCTCTCCCTCCCTCCCTCCATTGCTCCCTTCCTCCTACCAACCCACCCTACCTAACTCTCTTCTACTTTTGTTAAACATTACATATTATATTTGAATACTACCCCAAAAATCCATACACATACATGTAAGTAAAAGGGTTTAAAGAAAAATCTTTATTGGACTAAGATAAATCAGTTGAATTAATGTTACCTTCAATCCGTTCCCAACATGCAGGAGCTTCTTCATAACACGCCCTGCAAATTGAAAAAAAAATCAACAAAAATGTTTATACACAACATCCTATTTTGAGAAGAAATTAATCATTAACATCATTAAATTCCTGACTTCTCCCAAAGGAATTTTGTAATGCTCATCCATGCATGCATACCGGGTACATGTTAGAACTTTAACTGAATGGAATTGTGTACATAAACATCAACTATTAAAAGCGAAGCTTATTTGCTGACAACAAAAGTCCTTCATGCAGAATACTAAAATACTTGCATTGTATTTCTACTTGAAAAAATACAATGTACAAAGCAAGTGGATTCACATGGAAATGAAGCCTATATAATGAAATTGATTGAGTTTCTGGAAAGCTATACAAAAGAACAATAACAAAATATTTCAAAAGATGATTAAATTGATATCTATTTTAAGAATTGTGTACTGTTCAACAAGAAAGATGTACGTGTACATGTGTATGACCACATACTTGTATGTATACATGTACATGTACATATATGTAGGCTCTATAGGAACATGATGTAATGATTCATCAATTCCATTTTAGTCCGTCACATTTAAATGGAGATGAAATACAAAGTGATGGTAAAATGTGATTGGTGAAATTAACAGTTTACACTTACAGTTGTATCTTTTCCTTGAATAATGACTGATTATTAACACATATAGGTTTGTTCTTTGATTCACTCTACCTCATCTTGCAAAATGTGTACAGTGTAGTTTCTACGTTGGTCAGGTTTAATTCCCCTATCTGACTGACTCCCCCCCCCCCCCCCCCCCTCTCAACGGATCCTGCTCTAAACCTTTATTCACAGAGTAACTTTCCTACACTGCATTTTGTATATTCATAATCATATTTCATGTCTAATGACCAGTCATACAACAAAAATGTATGTGTGTACAGGCCAAGCCCTGCGTTGACTCTGTGCAATATTGCTGTAGCATTAATCTCAAGTGCCATCAAGGGTAAACACAAGCAGGCTGGCTGGCCGTACCAGTGACCTGCCTGCGTCCCTCCCAGCATGCCTGCCCTCGAGCTTGATAAGCCGGCTATCCTCAAGGAACAGTGGGTTATCATCATTCATTAACATCTAGCAATACACAGGATGCAGGCAGGTGCAAAGCAATGCCCACCCTACGCCGGCTTTACATCAGGTTCCATGTATATACAATGTAGCTTGTTAAAGATACACGTAATGCCGAGTTCTGGGGGTGTTTCACAAAGATCCAAAGTCAAACTTAACTCTAAGTTGGACTTAAATATTATGGAGAGCCATTTGTACATGTACTGTAGCATCAAAATACATATTCAAAAGTGAAAAATCAAGTATTTTAGACTTTTCTTAAATTCCACATCAGGAACATAAAATCTCCCATAATAGAAAATCTGAATGATTTGAATCAACATTTTACGCCTTTTAAAATAACTTTTACAAAATATTTTCAAAGATGCGAACGGCTTTCCATAATTGTTAAGCCCAACTTAGAGATAAGTTCAACTTCAGGATCTTTGTGAAACACCCACCTGGTCATATGATGGAAAGTGTCTGCAGCTATTGGATAAAGTCGATTATGTTGTTTGTAAGAGTGGTACAAACTGTGATGCTTGGGAGTCACCAAAATGAGAAGAAGTTGACTCAATCTTGCTCTAAGTCGCATGTACTGCACACAGAAACGGGTATATACATGTAGGACCACACTAACATGTTGCATGAAAGTTTGGTCCAAACTTTTCAGCTGTTTTCCCATCATATGACAAGCAAACCAATATTTAAGGGGATATTTTTACTTCATGTAATATGTATGATAATTGATATCTTCTAAACGGACAAAAATCTAAAAGTACAAAGCTCTTAAATTATTTTTCATTTTACCAGAACTCAACCTTCTCTTTAAACACACTGCTGATTCTATCAGACAATACACCTGCAGAAGTCATACATTGTATTGTATGTTCTCCTTTGTTTGTGACATATTTTTGAACACAGATGTTGCGACCCTTCAGATTAAACGAGGCACCTGTGGGACATGATTGTCAAGTGGGTGTCTACATACATGTACATGTACATGTAGATGGACATGTTACTGTTAGTGAGCTAAATATGGGGGAAAAGATGACATAGACAGAAATGAATTTTGTTTACAAAAGGGCAAAAAACTAAAAAAAAGTATGCACAAAGAGACCAAAGATCAACTAGATTTCAAGACAAGATTCCAAGAAGATAAATCTATCACGAAAGAACAGGAGAAAAAGGCAGAAACAACCCTCTGTTTCAAAACATGGTAAAGAAAATTGGGGAAAAAGAGATAAAAAGGAAAGGGACACAAAGCACAAAGGGACACGTACAGTATAAAGAATTCAAAGCTTGCTTATAATGTAACTGTCAATTTCTACACATCAAAGAGGACAATAGACAATAACAAAGAATGGAAGCGACATTCAAATCTCTTTAACATGAATAGCAAAGAAATCCTTCATTAGGCAATCATTCATGTTTGCAACAAAAACCAAAAACACCACCAAAACATAACATCTTAAAGGGGAGTTAATCTCTCACAGAAAGTTGTGCTCAGTGGAAACAGAATCATAATAGAAACATGCAGATGATTGAAACAAGTTGGACTCTTTCATGTTATACATGTAGTTAAATATAGAATTTATAGATAATATTCACGTAGTACATTTGACACATTGGAAATTTAGTCATGATCTGTGAAGAAGTCTCCAATTAATGTGTAGTACGAAATGATCAAAACATCTTCCATTTCTTTCCAATGTAAGTTACTGTACATGTACATGTCTTTCCACAAAAACAAAGTTTGTTTCATCATAACATTTAAGGAAAGGGAAAGTTTCTTCCATAATTAGACTTGAGGAAAGGGGTGATTCGAGTACCGTAATTTGGGTACAGACTAATTGATAGTCAAAAGACAATTAAAGAGAGTTTACTCTGTGTGAGTGTGTGGCATAACATGATTACACAGACATGAACATACATGTACATTGTCAACATTGTCAACATCATTAATGATATCTCAAAGCACTCTAAAATTAAAAACAAACTCATTAATTGTCTAATTTTGCTCCAATTTATCATGTGTTGCTCTGATTATTTTGTCCTGCTTAGGATTATGCCAACTTACAACTTGAATGGGGCTCTTCATGCCCCTTTAAAGGCATTGAATCAATTTGAGGTAAATCTTGTGGGTTGATAACCGTAAAGAAAGGTAAGGTACATGCACTATGGACAAGTGGCCTAGGAGTCATGATACGTGTCTGTCTACTGAATACACATCGGTTATGTTGTGAACACAAACTCTGATTCATTTGGGATATATTTAGACGTGCCGACATTCCTCTGCAAAATGGCAAGCCAAATATGAGACATTCTTGAATTAGTCGGTCTGTCATCACCGACTTCCAGGCATATTCCACTCAAGATGCATGTTTATTTCATTTCTATTGCTTGCATTGCACGGACATCCAGGTGACTATTTACATGTGTACACGATGCACTAACTAACAAAACATGCTACAGTTTATAATGCTCTCTATTCAGTTATTGAGGTTGCTCTTCAGAATATTTGTGAGAATTCATACACGTACAAAAGGAAATCATTCGGACCAGTCAAAACAACATTTACAAATAAATTCATGTAACTAGAAAACATACATGTCTGTGACTACATGTATGTATACCAGCTTCATACATCATACATATCAATCAAATATTTCAAGTGTTACAATTCTAAAATGATGCTGTAAGCAACTTGAAAGGAAGGGGTCTTTCACACTGGTGCACACAAATATTTGAAGAAAGTAAATGCATCTACTGTACATGTAGATGTTTGGCCTTCCTAGCACAAATCCTACAAAGCCCTTGATTCTGTTTATGGAAGAAATCCTTGTGCTTACACTGCACTGCCCTGTATGTCAATAGACAATGTAATACAACAGGTAAATGATAGCTAAACATGTTGTATTACAGGTATGTGTAAATATTGCATATTAAATCTAACTTTAAAAAATGCTGAATTCTTGTTGCCACACAAACTTCTGGAGAAAAAAAGTTATTAGAGAATACTTAATCTAAAAAAAGACATAAAATACATCCATAGACATTGTATGAACAGTTCTGAACTTACATGTACACGTATCAAACTGAGAAAGGTACAGTGCACAGAATAATTGCATTTTTAAGTGACTTTTTTCACACAGTCATCATCTTGCCAGGGTGAAGATTAAACACAACTTAAACATGTTTGTGCATTCAATTCCAGGGCAAAATCACAGACATTAAAAAATATGCAGTGTATGACCCCTCGGCCATCTCCCAGAATATCTTATCTGGGATGGTAGGCAAAAATCATATTACTCTACGGGAGATCTCTGCCTTCCATGATATAGCTAGATCATGCAAGTTTGAAGTAAAGCTCTCCCATCTACCCCTAGAAGCTTCCTGAGGCTTGCTGGATATAGCAACAATAAAATGCATTGATAATTGGATTCAAGCATGAACTTACTACCAGCCATAAAGAAGCTATCATGTGGGTTTTTTTCATGCTTTTTTATTTTTACGATCGTTCTAAAACAAAATTTGGCATATATATATTACACTTTTGCTTTTAAAATTCCTGACTTCCCAACAAAATCATCTTGATAGGCCTTGTTTTTTTGTTTGTTTTGTGTTCTCTCTTTTGTTCGTTTTCTTTCTTTCTTTCTTTCTTTCTTTCTTTTCTTTCTTTCTTTCTTTCATTCTTTCTTTCTTTCTCTCTCTCTCTCTCTTTTTCTTTTTAAAAATTATTTGTCATCAATTTGTCTCCTTAAAAACAACCCCATATCTTCTCCATTCCCTCATTCCTCATCCCTCCCTCTGTTTCTTTTTTCCATCTTCTTCATCTACTTCTTCTTCAAAATCCACTCACCTATACTGTGGAACTGCCATCTGGAGTGAATCAACTCGGGCAAAAACAGGAAGATTTTCTGCAAGATAAAAAATGTTATGAAAATGCATAAGAAAGTCAGTCAGACTGATGTCAGAATCAAAAGGTCAAAACATGCAGGGCAAAACAGGTCCATTCCTTGAAGCGCTTGCACAAGGAAGATGTGGTTTGTTAGAATGAGACAGTGAACTTCAAATCCAGCATGTTATCCATTAATATTTCATTTCTTCCTTTGCTCCGTAAATAAAAAAAATAGAGAATGTCAATCTAAAATTTAAAAAATGTAGAGATATACATTTATGGGAGATTTAGTTTTAGATTTGCTAATGAAAAAGTGAAATTTAGGCACAGACAAATTTCTACATATTTCTTTGTTTTGCCTTGTTTTCTTTTTCTTCACAGAACTCTTGACTCTTATTTTAGTTTATAAATACACAATTCTTTGAGAACTTTCCAGAGCTAATTCGTTAATGCTCCTGTGTGTTTTCTTTTCTCTAAAGTACGCTTTGTGATATGGAAAATTAGGTATCACAATGAAATTAATATGAGAGGACAGTTTGAAACAACAAAATATTCCTCCTCAGGACCTATTCAAATTGTCAACAAAAATAAATAAATAAATTGTGTTGAAGAAGCTCAATTAATGTCATAAAAGAAGATAAACATGTTTTCTTTGACATGACATGCTGTACAGAACTTAACCCCTCATTCCATACAAACGGAGGAGTACAGAGTCTTACATGTAAAATATTACAGTATTAATATTGGGAAGGATGACATGAAGAAGAATGAACAAGAATCACATGATGGAGGACGGCAGCTGTCCATCTGGCAGCGTGCCTTACATAATCCTGTATACCACCACAGGAAATATGATTTAAATATGATGCATCTACAGTACATATTTATAGGTTTTTTTTTTGTTTGTTAAGCTTGTTATACATGTACATGTACAGTATACATGTATGTTCATGCTTATTTTACATTTCACATTCGCAATCATTACATAATTCATAAACAATAATGAAAAAGTACATACTATAATATCAAGCCATGAAAGTAATAATATAGTCAAATTAACATACAGAGATATAAAATATAATTGCATGGTATCTAAACTGAAATTAGAGAAATATATTTGTAGTGAAATATTATGAGGGAATCTAAAAGTACAGTAGGTACATGGAGGCTACAATACTGGCTCATACACTTAAAGGGGAAGTCCACCCTGAAATTAAGTTAGTTTTAATAGGAGTAGAAAAATGAGAGAAACAAGTCAGTGAAAGTTTGAGCAAATTCCGATTAAAAATAAGGAAGTTAGGATTTTTGAAGTTGTGATCAATCAAACACAAATTGGCAACTCTATGACGTATCATGCGAGCTCAACTTCCATTTGCTCAGTACTAAAAAAATCTAAAATTTTCATTTTCCCTCAAGAAAAATTTCAACCATACATGCACCCTAAATATAATAATTGCAAATATGTTTCTATACTCCCCCTGCAAGGAACAAATATATATTCCGTCATCAATAACAAAGAAAACATGATTTTATGGAATATTATGCACAAAGCAAATGAAGGAGAGCTCGTATAATAAGTCACAGAGTTGCCAATTTGTATTTGATTGATCACAACTTCAATAATTCATAACTTTCTTATTTTCATTCAGAATTTGCTCAAACTTTCACTCACCTGATTTTCTTATTATTCTGCCTCTATCGAAACAAACTTATTTTGGGGGTGGACTTTCCCTTTAAAGAGTCAGATACATGTACCTCCTTTTCATTAAAACCAAGTACAATGTAAGTGGATATACTGCTAATAGTTGAAGCCAGACTTTACATACATGGACAGACATGTTTAATGTATTTAACATTTAGATGTGTAATTTTCTTTTCTGAATTTTTCACTTACCGGTACTTTCCTCTTTCTTTCTTTCTTTTTTTATTGAAAAAATATTTCATACTTCTTTGGGTGTTTCATTTCATCATTAATTGTACTTGCCAATCACTGCCTTCAAAGGATAATGAAAACAATGAGAGCACACACAGAGTACATGTACATTTGTACTGTAGGTGTAGAACAATTGTATGCACACACACGATAGCCCATGTGAACATGAATAATCAGGTCATCTGGCTTTCTAGGTATCTCAAAGGATTACAAGTTTATCACCTACATGTTCATGTATCTGTAATTTATTGAGCACAAATAAATCTGTCCACATTCCGCCAACTATAAATCAGCTCCATCCCTCACATATCCAAACTGTGTTGATCAGGGAAATCAGAGACTTTCCCTGTTTGTACATGTATGTACACAGGTAGATGTAGATGCCAGATCATGTCTGATACACTTGATTTCTCCCTCTTCTCTCTCTTAAAGGTAAAGATCAGTTTTGGAAACGCCCCCCTCTCAATAAATTAAATGGAAACCCTTATTACTAATCATGTGAAAGAGTATGTTTTGACTAATATGTGATGATACAAATTTTGCCGAGAAACCACCTACTAATTGATATATTTGGACCCGACAGATATCGCGCACGTGTCGCGCACATGTCGCGTAGTCCCATATACAACTTTCTGTGTACCGTGCTTGTAACTATACCAAGACTAGGCCAAATTTCTAATCATTTTGATGATTCCAGAACCTTGCAGTACACACCAATACTTACATGTATATGCTAGATGATCAACCTTTTCTGATCGATTCCACAACGTTTCTTGCACAATGCAATCGCATGACCATAACTGGTCTTTATCTTTAATCTATTACAAAGTGCAAAAATTGTACAACAGAAAGGTAGATATAGCCCTATAGGTGAACAGAAACAAATGGCCCTATGCTACAATCCATCCAAAACCTTCTGTACATCCAGCACAGTTAGCCAAGTGAAATTTGGACAGCTAATAACAAGTAGTGGCAGTGTTTTATCTTGGAAGAAGGAAGGAAGCGATATACTGCCTCTAAACCCCCAGCGGGGGGAGGGGGACAGTTCTTCCTCCACTCTCCTAGCTAAGCAGGGAGTAGAACGCGTTGAAGGTGGGGTATGATTGGGAGTAGGTCAACAGCTACATGTAGCTCCCTACCTCCTGTACAGTACATGAATGAATGTAAAATATAAACAGGACAGGTGGGAGATATGATATGTTCAGTTGTACAGACATTTACATGTATATAAAAAATGAAAATGTTAAATTCCAACAGCATTTGAAAGATAATCCTAATTTAGAACTTCCCTCAAAACAAAAGGGCATCTTGAAAATAACGAGTTAACGACCATTAGTTGTTGAACGACTTTAGAGATTGCAAATTTGCAATCCATTTATTAATAGTCTGATTTTCAGACCCTTGTCATGAATGGTCATCTGTTTGTGCTGCGCAAAGATTCAATCAGTTTAATTTTGATTACAAGAAGGGGGTTATGTTCATGTACCATTTACAGCTCATTTTATGTTTGTTATTACCAAAGAAAAAAAAAAGTCAGTCAGTCACTCAATGGTGTCTGACAGTGAAGTCTAGAAAGTAAACAGGTTTCCTTGCATAATTTGAATATTAGGACACTGCTTGAATTTCCAGATAGGACATACGTGACATATTCGTAATTTCTGCAAAATTCTACAGATTTTGATATTGGCTGCAAATGGGACATACACTGTACATGTACATGCAGTACCTTTAAGTTCATGTACCTTTACATGTAATGAACTGACTCCTAACGCTGTCATGTATGCAGTCATAAATTCACCATCCTTGTTTATCTTGTCAAACCGTTCAGACTTGAACAGCTCTGCATTGCTTCACAGAAATGTGCTACATACATGTAAGCCTGTCAATTGCACATCACACCTACCATTTCACAACTCCTTACATTTAATTTTCATTATACATTAACTCTATGAAATGAAGGATATCATAAGTGGGTTTTTTAAACTTTCTCCAAGAAATTGATCATGAATGCAAGATTTCTGGTACAAAGCATGATAGCATTTAAAAGTAATATACATTGAGAAGACACAAATGTATACATTTAAACCATGGACCCCACTACAGATGGACTAATACTGAGAGTCTTTCTTTGATCACCATGACCACCGCCATATAATGTGTATGTTAATGAGGACATTCATTTGATGGTCAATGCTGATTATGTAATCCCGCATCATCACAGACAAAAGAACCTTTTACATTTCTTCAGATTCTTTTTGTTGGGCCAGGGCCAAGAGTGTAGTTTCAGGAAAAGTATCATGATTTAAGACCAGTTAGAGGAGCAGTGAACTCCAAATTAGGAAGATTTGTGTGATATTAGATTGATTATTAAAGAAGTTGACATACATTTGGACTTGCCAAACTTTGAAAAATACCTATACTTTACTATTACCTTCAATTTTTTTGGAAACGGATAGGATAGGTTTTTAAATGAAGGTTAAAATCATTGAATTACAGCCAAATTTACAGGTACATGTACAGGTACTCTTGTAAACATCTTCTAATTTCCTATTGAAAACTTCATATACGTCAATATTCATACGTATGTAGGCCACAACTGCACATGCATGTCTGTGATTTTAAGCGATTCAGTTTCTTTTGCACAGGCATTTTGTTGATTCTTCAAGACACAGTTTGAGTTTTTCATGGCTGACTGGCGGTGGCGGTCGTGATGAGATCAAAGCTTGGAAGCATGTTTGGAATGTTATTATGATACTTTTGACAGAATCAGGTGCATCAATGTATTATGGTACCGATCAGTGTCCATTTGTAGTAGGTCCATGTGTAAACAAATGTCAAAAACAAAGTGCACATAACAGGGACCAGAATCCAAAACTAAATTGCATCAAGATTTAATATTGCCCCCCTCCCCTCTTTCCACTTTAATGTAAACGTACTGAAATTTCTTTTTCTTATTAATGTCAGGATTTTTCCCTCAGACTATAGATGTTATAAAGTTTGAGAAATGCCCTTATATTTATTATTTTATAATGGAGCACAGTTTCAGATATCCCATGCTTGAGAAAAAGTAATTAATACAAAACCGAAAATTTGGGCTTGTACACCGTCTGTACAATGACATAAACATGGCAGCACCATTTTGTCATACTTTGGAGAAATTTTTGTTGAAGGGAGTTGTGTTCTCATATTTACCTCAAACACTGCTAGTATTGCATCCAAGTCCTCTCGCTGTGCCTTATGGACCCTCTGTTTGGTGCTCGCCTCAAGAAGGATAAAGTTTTCATAGAAAACATGGTAGATGTGGGAGAAGTACTGCTCAAAATACGACTTCAGTTCTGACGTCTCAGCATTTTCTGGGGAAACAAATGCACAGGGTATACATGTAGTTACAAAAACTGTTAGGTTCTGATGTTATACTGATACTACCCTTAGCACTTACATGTACCAATACTAACTAGTATTGAGTTCTGTTGGACATTTAACACCTGTAGAAAAATACTGGCTGGGCTGTACCATACCATTCTGATTTTGTTTCCAAGAGCAAAACCAGGAGTTGATGAACAAGTTCTTGTCTACATACATTGTAGGTAAACATCCATGACATGTTTGTTATTCATACCTCGTGGAACAGGTAAGGTGTCCAAAAAAAAATCACTTAAATTTTCCGCTTTATAAAAAGACTTTATTAAAAAAAGTCCCATGCATTTATACTTGAAAGACAAAATACAAGAATCAAGCTGAAAACACAGGCTCTGTACATTTATATATAAACATACAGTACGAATCTGTAAATCTATTTTAAACTGACCATTCTCACATGACATTCCTAAGAATTTCACTGTTAAAGGTAAAATCCAACCCAAATAGACAACTACTCTAAAAGAAAATCAGAGAAGCAAACTGATGATAGTCTGACTACCTAAATATAAGAAAGTTATGATTTTTTTAAAAATTGTAATCACTATACACGTACATGTACGTATGGACACTTCAAATTGGCTGAAGCGGCCATGTCAATGTGATGTAGTACTGGACTACTTTCCCATTTGTTCCAACATGAAAAATGACTAAAATTTAAATTTTTCAAAAAACTATGGCTCAGGAGGGTATATTCTTTTTAGAGGATCTACAAAACTACAAATGTATAATAATATGCTATCTTTGATATATTTTGAGCAGTGCCCCTAGGGAGAAGAAACCCAACAATATTTTTGTACACAGCAAATGGGAGAGTTATCCACGTCCTACATGTACGTCGCAATCCACTGACCAAACTACCAATTTGAGATTTGCATAGACTTAGTGATCTCTTTAATACTTAAAACATTCATAACTTCCTTACTATTGGTCAGATTCAATTGAAACTTTTGCGATTTCTTGCTAAACCTTGGGGCCCGTAACTTTCAAGATATTTCTTTGTACAATAATTCATGCATCCTGGGTATACTACTGAAGCCTAGTAGAGTAGTAAATCTCATAACATATAAGGTCTTTGGATTTTGCCTTGGCATATCAGCATGAATCAGAGAGATCAGTACTGAAAGTGGGGTATTTTTCCAGAAAAAAGGCAAGTTGTTGTACCATAAATCTCTGTGTATAAGACGCACTTTTTCGACGCCGAAAAAAATTGAAAGTAGGGGGTGCGTCTTATACACAGGTACAATTTTTTTTTTGATTTATGCCCCTCCATCTGGCGCTATGCCTGGCAATTTCTCCCAGCTCAGTAATCAGTGTGTTGACTCACCACTCAGAAACTAGAACAACACTCAATTTTGTCTGTCATCTTGGTTTGAAAGTAATCTTTCTAATGGATCTCAATATGTAGTTTATAATAATAATTCCTCAAATTTTTCTTCTATGACACACGACGGAGCCAGACGTAGTCTCAGCGCAACCGTCAATGTCAGACTCAGAGAATGAAGATTTAGTTTATTCTTCTTCTTCCTATGGATAATCTGCCTCCTTCAATACAGAAGATTCTTGCAGATGTATACTGGTGTGTGCAGGTAGACCCCTACATGTACACCAGGGTTTTCCCCTACTATTATACAAATAGTGCAGAGGGTTCTTAACGTGCAAAGGTGGCGACTCTCCTCTACACAGGCCTCCATCTGTTTGGGTCTCCATTAGTTTGGGTTTAACTTTGTTACAGTTTCAACAACAACAAATCTCAAGAGGCAAGAAGAATTGTCACAGAATTCATTTCGGAAGTTTCAGCAGTGGTTCTAGGCATAGCAGCAGTGTTTTGGGGCTGCATGTGCCATGTACTAAGTCAATGGGGAGGGCGCTTGCACCTTTACATTGTAAGTGTAGGGTAACGCGCCCGGTATTCGGTCAATTTCTAGTAATTTAAATAATAATTCATGAGCCACGAAATTGGGACACATCAGGCACCTGAACAACTTATCCTAACTCTCAAAATTAAATCAGGTATACGGCCCCGGAAAGATCTCCAACTTATCTCCAAGTTCTGCACTTACGGGTTCTGTTAGCACATCAGTTTAAAAAGCATAGCCATATGTCGAAGCCTATAGTGAAACAACTACGTGTGCTAGTGCAATGAATTTAGTATGTGTGTGAAGAGTAGCTCATATGTGGCCACTATATCGCAGCTCTTCCGACGTGCAAGAGGTATTTATACAATACCCTTGCCATGCAGTGGTGCTTGTCCAGTCTTCGGTCAACGCAATGATCTTTGCACAGGAAATGAAGTCTTGCCGTTAAATATTGTTTTTAGACTTTGATGCCCCTATGAAGATCTAAAAACAATAATTATTGACAAGACTGCGTTGCCCGTACAGAGATCTAAAACAACAATTATTGTCAAGACTTTGTTGCTCCTACAGAGATCTAAAAACAATAATTATTGGCAATCTTTGTTGCCCGTACGGAGATCTAAAAACAATAATTATTGGCAAGACTTCTTTGCCTGTGCGGAGATCTAAAAACAATAAATATTGGCAAGACTTTGTTTCCCCTATAGAGATCTAAAAACTGTAGTGATTCAGCCTGAGCCACTACGGCTCTGGCGGCATATGCGCGTAAGTCCCGCATTAGGCGACACCCGCGGTAGTTTCCGCGGGCGTGCTTATCACTGGGAACGGTAGATTGAACCTGAGACTGCACACGACAAACACTGTTGATTGCCCGTCTCTTCTGTCTCTTCGGTCTACTACTACTAGCGACGGTGGAGCTCCACTCAACGAGCAACACTTCAAGCGCTTCTTGAGACAGACTTCAAGCAGTATAGTATACAGCCTATGGTAGGATAAATCCTTATTATAGTCGTTTAATGTAATTATAGTTAAGATTTAGGCCCAGTAAGTTATATTCCGCTCCGTCACTACAATGGCGTAATCGCTCTTTTTCGGACCTGCTGTAGGGGCTAGTTTTTTTTTTATCGCGCACGTTTTTGAGCCGCCATCTTGTCGGCGTTCACTCGTGTGTTGAAGGGATTTTCTATTTTTGTAATTTCATTCGTAGGGCCTTGTAAGCTTGTTTATTCCCTATTGGTAGTTGATTAGTGCTGTAGATTAGTATTTTAGGGACTCGTAGAGTATTTTCAGTGCTGTATTCCGGTTTTTGGGTACTCATTTCGGTGTTTTGGGGATAATTTTTTGTGGTCGCACACATGTCCGAGCCGCCATCTTGGATACGTTGACTCGTGTGTTGAAGGGATTTTTTATTTTTGAAACTTTTTTCGTAGGGCCTTATAAGCTCATATTTTTTCATTTCTTGTCTACTTAGGGTTGTAGGATAGTTTTTTAGGGACTCGTTGGTATTTTTACGGCCGTATTTCGATTTTGACATCGGTTTCGGTCAGTTTTTGTACTTAAATTTGCTCGTTTTTTTTCTACTCACTAGACTAGTTGTACAGCCGTTTTTTGTCGTGCTCGTAGTTTTGATCCTCTCGCCAGAGTTTTATACTGTGGAGATAATTCCACGGTGTTCTTTTTCGGTGAGGTATAGGGTCGGTTAAGTAGAACTTAGTAAGTAGGGGTAGGCTCTATTTAGACTAGTTTCAACCCTCTTGCCGAAGTATTATTACCGTGGAGATAATTCCATGGTGTTTTTTCGGTGAGGTATACTATGGGTATAGGGTTGTTTAAGTAGGAGTAGAATTAGTGAGTACAGTGTAGGAGTATAGGCCTAATTAATTTAGTTTCAACCCTCTCGCCGAGGTATTATTACCGTGGAGATAATTCCGCGGTGTTTTTTCGGTGAGGTATACTATGGGTATAGGGTTGTAAGTAGGAATTTTTTAGTAAGAAACTAAGTAAGATTATGAAAGAAACTAAGTAAGATTTTGGAAAGAAACTAAGTAAGTTCTTACTTTTTAAGTAGGCAATAGGCCTAGGTCTTTCCTGTAAGAAACTAAGTAAGAAACTAAGTAAGTAAGCAAGTATTTTCCTTTAAGAAACTACATGTAAGTAGTCTAAGCAAGAAGTATTTTCCTTGAAGGAACTACGTACGTTAGTACATGTAAGTAAGCAAGAAGGAAGGATTGGGTAGGTACCTAAGTGGGATTTTTGACTGTCAGTCTTGTTTTGGATATCTGTGGATTTTGGGTTAAATCGTGGGTGGTATTTAATTTCATCTTCATTTCATCATTACTAATATTGTACGGCCATCTCGCCGAGCATTATACCGTGGAGATAGTTCCGCGGTGTTTTTCGGTGAGGTATATTGCCGGTTTAAGTGTAGTCCTTTAGTGTTACTTAGTAGGGTTTAGTTTTGGCCCGCTCGCTGAAGCTGTTCACCGTGGAGATAATTCCGCGGTGTTTTTCAGTGAGGTTTAGGGTTTCAGTATTTACCTGTCAGGCACTTAGTAAGCTATTAGGAAACTAAGTAGGGTATTAGTAAGTAAGCAAGAAGGAAAGATTGTATGTGTATTTAATTTTATCATTTGGTTATATAATCGTTGCTGATTTGAAGCCGGTTATGACCTCGGAGAGGGTTAAAGTGAATTATGGGACTGAGGAGGCTTTACTGGCCGTTGTGGATAGAACTAAGTCCCACAAGATTTTTAGTTGGAGGGAGCAATGTGGGAGTTTAACTGAGGAGTTATTTTTGCAGTGTCCCCGTCTCCATGAAGCCAAGGAGCTGGTACATTTATTTGATTTTGAGCCTTATCGGGTGGATCAGGCTGAGCAGGCACAGGGGGTGGGGGAGGGGACTGGGCAAACCTTGACTGCACAAACCCAGTCTGTCCAGAGTCCGGGTCCCGTTCCTTATGGGCATACAGTGTACCCCCCATTTTCGGGTGAAGGCCCAGCTGGGCCTATATCCGGGTCTGCGCCCTCCCCAGCCGGGCCCTCCGCCGACTATCGGCTTAGGGACGATAGCAGTGTACCCTCCAGGGAACCCCCACGTAGGGATTATCCCTCGTCTAGGGATTTCCTTCCTACTAATCATGGTCCATCTTCCAGGGAACCCCCACGTAGGGATTATTATTATCCCCCATCTAGAGAATCCCCTTCTAGTAATTGTGGTCCGCTTTCCAGGGAACCCCCACGTAGGGATTATGTTTATCCCCCTTCTGGGGAATCCCAACCTGACATTCAGTATCCTCCCAGGGAATCCTCACCAGGGGGTCAGGGAGAGTATCGGTCGCAGGGGCGCCGGGATTGGCCCCCCCGTCTGCCGAGGTCACTTAATTACGATGGGCGAACAAGTTGGCATTCCTTTCTCAGGAAGTTCACCAGTTATGCTGTATCGTGTCAGTGGAGCCCAAGCGAGTGTTTGGACGCACTGGGCTGGTGTTTGGAGGGGTCGGCCTCAGATTGTTTTTCGAACCTTAGGGATATGGGCACTAATTCTTATTACCATATGTTAACAGCGATGGGGCGTCGGTTTGGGGCTACCCGATTCCCGGAGGAGGCCATAGCCGAATTTCGGACGGCTCGCCAACTCCCGGAGGAGTCTCTTCTTGGGTGGTCCGATCGGCTCCAAGCTTTGTCCTTTGAAGCTTTTGGGTGGGACCAACGGGGTGACAGCACTCAAATGGTATTGCAGTTATGCCAGGGTTGTACGGATAAGGCGGCGGGTTTAACAGCTCTCAATACGCGCCCGAAGTCCGTCGAGGAGGCCCTGGAAGCCATCAGGTGGGCGCAACATACCCAACGTGTTGTTTATGGGGGCGAGGCTCGCCGTACGTATTCGGCTTCTCGGCAGCAGGTGCAGCAGACTTGCATGTACGATCAGGAGGTGGACAGGTATGATACGGTAATTTATCATCATAGGCAACCCCATCCCCTAAATCGTTCCCCAACAGTTTCCGAAGGTCAAGATGTTCCCCGTCCGGCTCCTGTGGAGGACCGGGGGAAGGTCACAACGCCTTTTGAAGTTCAGGCCAGGAATGACATTGGCTATTTAAAAGAGGAAGTCGCCAGTCTTAAGACGCATGCGTACAATACCGATTGTATGCTAGAAGAAATACTGAAGACTGTTAAGTCTTTGGAGTTTTCTATGCTTTCCAATGCCCGCCCTCTATCTCCCGTGGCTACTGGTGTTCCGGAAAACCTGGAGGGGTCGGAGAGCGAGGCCGATCTCCGATCTGGAAATCGAGAGGCCTACAATCGGTAAATACTGAGGTAGTTAATGTTAGTGACCCACCTGACTCTTCGGTCGGTCCCTTGGACAAGGTAGTTAATGTTAGTGACCCACCTGACTCTTCGGTCGGTCCCTTGGACAAGGTGGTTAATGTTAGTGACCCGCCTGACTCTTCGGTCGGTCCCTTTGTCAAGGTAAATAATGTTAGTGACCCGCCTGACTCTTCGGTCGGTCCCTTTGTCCAGGTAGTCGCTAGGACGGCCGTGGTGCCTCCTTCTAGTGGGAAGCGGGTAGGATGTAAGGTTGTTGGGAGTCCAGGGCTCCACAGTAAGGACCTTTCCCTTTTCCAGCCCACCCACAGGCTCCCATTTTGGATTCCTCGGATCGTGTTTGATCAGGGGAAATAACATGTTAAGTATATATATTATGGTTCATTATCAAAGCCATTCACAACGGCTCGTCCGCGAGGACATGGTGCCGGTTCCTGTTCCTGGGAAATAACATGTTTGTCTTAAATATATATATATTTTAGTTCACTTTTGTTTACATTGTTTAATTTCATTGTAAATCGTCCATTCTGAGTTCCTGAACTTTAAGTGTTGATGTTTTTAAACTGAATAGATAACAATTAAATAAAACTGAAAAGTTTCTGCTTCGGTTAGCGGAGTTATATATGCTGAATTAGCTGCTCCGCTTTAAGAGCTGTCTAGGAAGCATTCTTTCCACAGGGAGACAGAGCACTCATGTGTGTTCGAGGCCATAAAACGGCCGGCTTTTGATATCTCCCAAGTGACACTACGTGGTACTGGTTCCAATATTAAGTCAGAATATGATCATGTTTTGGGGGAGTAATTCCTCTGGAGTAATTCCTCTGGATCAACAAGAGCCTTTTGGATTTGCTTGATGGTGTTACGGGCCTGGGTGCCCTGAATGATATCAGGAACTTGCCGGCAGTGGCTATTGTGCCCCCGGGTGCCGAGTGGCCCAGAAAATGTAATCTTATTTTGTTGAAGTGTTTTCACCTTCTATATCATTTTCCATCTGATTTCAGTGATCTGCTTTTATCATTCTAATACTTCCTATATGCACCGTTTGGACTGCCTGTAGGGAGCCGTTTGGCTCTCATGTGGGACTGCCCAGTTTCTGGACATTGTACCATCCAAACTGCACTTGGGGAATGGAGAGCCATCGGGCTCTTCCCCTTTTCTGCACACTTATTGCCATTCATCGTTTATGTTGATCACTCACACTTTCATGCTCGGTCACCTTGGGAATTTAATGTAATGCCCCGGTTAATCCCTTATGCCTGTGCCAGGACGTTTTGCAATTTGTCATTATGTAATATGTATAACCGGCACGGTAAGGGTTAACTGGTATATTTCTGTTTCTTTATGCCTGTAATGCCCCGGTTAATCCCTTACGCCCGTGCCAGGACTGCTATTCTTTGTCATTTACACGTGACACCGGCACGGTAAGGGTTAACTGGTATATTTCTGTTTCTTTCTGTTCTTGATCCCTGGGACATTTCCGGGACTTGAATCCTATTTAGTACTTAAATATACCAAATTGTGGAATACAGTGCATTTTACATTTTACAGTGCATTTTACCTGTACTTTAAATAATATTTCCCGTACCAAAGTTTGGAATACAGTACGTTGTAAGGTATGATGAAGGCGCCCGCCCCCTGGAAAGACCAAGACTTCACTGGTGCTGGCAAGGAGGGTCCTTGACCCATCCACCAGCGGGAACGGCGTGACCCCGCACTGCGGTACGGGGGTAGTTTTAAGTTAGTTTTAGTTTAGTTTTAGTTAGAAGTAGGCTTTAAACTCATTAAGTGGGGAATAATGTAGTGATTCAGCCTGAGCCACTACGGCTCTGGCGGCATATGCGCGTAAGTCCCGCATTAGGCGACACCCGCGGTAGTTTCCGCGGGCGTGCTTATCACTGGGAACGGTAGATTGAACCTGAGACTGCACGCGACAAACACTGTTGATTGCCCGTCTCTTCTGTCTCTTCGGTCTACTACTACTAGCGACGGTGGAGCTCCACTCAACGAGCAACACTTCAAGCGCTTCTTGAGACAGACTTCAAGCAGTATAGTATACAGCCTATGGTAGGATAAATCCTTATTATAGTCGTTTAATGTAATTATAGTTAAGATTTAGGCCCAGTAAGTTATATTCCGCTCCGTCACTACAAAACAATAAATATTGGCAAGACTTTGTTGCCCCTAGTATAGAGATCTAAAAAACAATAATTATCGGCAAGACTTTGTTGCCCCTACGGAGATCTAAAAACAATAATTATCGGCAAGACTTTGTTGCCCGTACAGAGATCTAAAAACCAGAATTATCGGCAAGACTTTGTTGCCCCTACGGAGATCTAACAACAGTAATTATCGGCAAGACTTTGTTGCCCGTACAGAGATCTTAAAACAATAATTATCGGCAAGACTTTGTTGCCCCTATATGGAGATCTAAAAACCAGAATTATCGGTAAGACTTTGTTGCCCCTATGGAGATCTAAAAACAATAATTATTGGCAAGACTTCGTTGTCCGTATCGTCAATGAAGTCTTAAAAACAAAAACAAAACACATGTAACAAACTGCACAAAAATAATGGTTAAACGGAGCGAGAAATGCTAAAGGGTTTTGATGAATGCAGTCGTTTATTAAACAGTCGGTTAAACGTTTTGAATCGGGCTCTAGATCTAGGCCTAATACTAGTAAGTAGTTAGACTACACATTGCAATCTGTCTAGCTGAAGAGGGGTTTCTTATTGACTTCAACGTTGCTTCTATACTAAACATTAAATCAACATGACCAAGCCCCTGAACTGAAACTAAAAGTTTGAAGAAAGAGGGAAAGATTCGCCTACCGATCACAACTCGCAGGTGTCTGAGCCTAGAAAGCACATCTTTCTTCAAATCGAGCACCTTCTGACCGGATTTCTTGAAGTCCCCGTGTGATTTTTTACTAAACATGTCTTATCACTCGATAAAAACACGATAAAAAGAACGAAATCTACAGAAAATTGATCCCATTCTCATCTCAAATTGTATCACAATACACGGCCGAATTCACTGTAAGGTCAACGGAGAATCCATTTGCGCATGCTCATAAAATCTGTATGAACATCGTCATCTTGAAATTGGCATTCTGTATTTCTAACTTTGTTGAATTTAAAATTAATCTAAATCAATTTTAAATTCAATAAGAATATATTATTATTACATAAGTGTTATAAAATATTTACTAACTTGTATTAAACTTTAAAAAATTAATATATATTACATGATGATACTTAATCAAATCGATCATAAGAATGAAGGACAGAAAGACATGCGATCATGTGACATAGTCACCTGTTCAGTAAAGCTGAAGTTAGCAGACGTTTCAGATTCAGATAGAGAGCGGTAACGAAATGACAAAATTATTTTCTGGTCCAAGTTTTCTTTTCATGACCGGGAAGGGCAAAATGCGGGTGACGAGGGAGCATAGTGAATAAGAGAGGTGAAGGTGACGGAAGTGACTAGCCCCTAACAGGTTTTTGAAGTTTTGTTGTATTAAAAAATTACATTACTATAGTATACAAACAAGCAATATATTTTGTATAGGCCTACTTTTTTCACACTTCACTTTTACTTTGCCGGTAATTAGGATGCAGTCCAAAGGGCTGTAGATATTTAGTAGGTAATTTTAGTAAGTTTTTCTAAAATATGTACTTTTACATTTTGAAAAACATAAGGCATGGGGGCGTAATGACCGAGTGAGAAAAATTTTGCATTTTTATTAGTTTAAACTCTGCACTCTTGGGCCCTTTTTTTCTCGCCCTTTTTCAAATTTCCCGGGGGGACGACCCACCCCCCCTCACCCTTAATTCTACTTGATAAATGTTAGGTGTCGAATCCCCCCCCCCCCTTTCGGGCGGTTCATTTTTATGATTTTGAGAGCCGGACGATATAATAAAAGTATAATCTTTTCGCTGTTATTCCGTATTGCCATGGAAATTACTTTATACTTGATAGGCCTATATATCGGGCAAGGTTGACTCGAGCGATGCTCCTTCCCGTTTCTTTTCCTTCCTCGTTTGCTGTCTCTGATGATAAATTGGACTCATTTGTGCGGAATATTTTTCTACGGTTTGTCTTTTTAGTGTAATAAAGGTTCATACGAGCACAAACAAAACACAAGAAAGATCACTGGCTGTAATTGGTTCTTCGCCATTTATCCTACACAACTCAACACTACGAAGAAAAGCAATCGTGTCAATTTATTTTAGTTTACAATTTTAAATAACAAAATGATTTAGCCATCACCCACTGTCCCACAAAATATCTTACTATATACTGGTTGATTCATTATCAATAGCACGTGAAATCATGTAATAACATGAATATCATCTCATGTTGTTTGCTTGAGAAGTAACAAATACAGGGCAAATGTGGAACACTGGAAATCCGATCCGCATTTCTCATCAATTTATACATAATTGCCGTGTCTGTACGTAAGTTTCATGTCAACTGCAAAACCCCTAATAAGATTAGAAGAGTTGGAACTCCCTGGTTAGAGGACTCATCAAAAGGGGCCTTTGTTGGTTCTTCAATAAGGCGGGGCTGCAGCTCCAACCCATCCCCTGAATTTTGAAATTACCAATTTACGGACAACCGTCAACTCGTATTCAACAGCAAGACGGTTTGCAATATATATGGTACATTATGTTTTAAGACAAAATTACATATTTTTCACATTTTCACATTAATCGAAAAATCTTTTTGTTCGCTGACTTCACTCGCAAATTCGCTCACAAATTACATAAAACGGATAATTTTGTATCCAAGTAAGAGCTTTCAGCACCATAACTTTGTAACAACATTGTGCCTCAGTTCGCCTATAATTTCAAACACTAATTTTTTTTGGACCTCGAAAATTTGAAAAATCGCACCCCCCCCCCCCCTTGAGCGCCGGGGGAGGGGGCTCATCTAAAAAAAAAAGGTAATATTAATGTGTTTTTACACGATTTTTCCCCAAGGGGGGCGGGCCCCCGGGACCCCTGGATCCGCCACTGTGTTACCCGAGAGCGACAAAAAGAACGGGCTCGAGGCCAGGCTACCAACAAAAAAGGGGGGGGGGATTATTAGATTATAGGTGCACTTGCATCCAGGATCTAAGAAAGGAGGGTGTGAAAAGTGGACACGTAATGAACATTGACTGTAACAAGTTTTGCTTCAAGGAGAAGTGGGGGTGGAGGGGGGGGGGGGCGTCGAATTTTCCTAAATGTGGATCCACCTATCGTTAAGTTTATATTTTTTGTTTCCCTCCTTCGTGCTTCTTCCGATTCTATTTTTTTCCTAAGATCTCTTAGCAAAATGCCAAAACAACCATCAAATTAAGAGGCATAACGTAAATTATTAATTTTCAATATCTTCCTTTTCAGAGCGGGAAGATGCTCCATCTTTGTTCTTGATACATCCGCTTGCTGCCTTGTTTTTATTCATTTTAAAATGCTTCATTTCTCTGTGCATTCCATTTGTTTGGTTTGTATTGGAGAAATGCTCAATTCTAACACATTTTTGAGATAACCATTCTTCTTTTGCTCTTTTACATTCATTAGCAATTTTCTTGTTGATGTCTCTGTATGATTTGGAGTTTCTGACTTGCTTTTGCCTCTCCTGCGTAAAGTTGAGAATCTTTTCTGTCATCCATGGTTGTTTTACCGGTTTCTATTTAGTCGGAAGTGTCTTATTTCCATGCTGAATGCTTTTTTTTTTTCTTTAAGCATTTCCATTCCAATTCTAGTTTCTCAATGTCATTTACTTCATTATTTTTTTGTTCTATTTCTTCTGTGACTAGACAATTAAACCTATTTTTAACTTCCATTAAGTATTTTTTACTGCTATATCTGTTTTATTTTAATAGAGCTGTGACATCAGGGGCGGATCTAGCTTTTTGCTAAGGGGGGGGTTGACCAAAATAATGACGATGCGGAGCATCGTCCACGAGCCGCGAAGCGGCGAGCCGATTTTTTTGGGGGTGTTTATTTGAACCCCGTAAGTGATGTTTTCCTGGCATCTATTAACACAATGGAGACCATAAAAAGCAGTGCATGATAACGTCTTTTTAAATCAAGTAACAGTTAAATACACAGTTATATCCAGAGTTATCATGTGTTTGGTTAAGTTACCTGATGAGTTGAATATCTTCTCACAATATTTGCACTTGAAAGGGTTTCTCTCCAGCGTGCGTTCTTTTTTCTTTCTTTTTTTCTTTCTTTTTTTCTTTTTTTTTCCTTTTTTTTTTTTTTTTTTTTTTTTTTGGGCCGCCCAAGGGGGGGGGTTGCAACCCCCCCAACCCCCCCCCTGGATCCGCCACTGGACATCTGGAATAGGGTTTCTTTTTGTTGGGGAGTGTTTTCTTTAGCTTTATTTCGACTTCTGCAATCACCGGGTTGTGATCAGAATCTATGTCAACTCCTGGGCATGTATTTACCTGCTTGATACATTTCTTAAACCTATTCTTTATTAAAATGTTATCGATCTGATTTCTCTTTATATCTCCTTGAATTCCTCTTGCATTTCAGGTACGTTTCGAAAAGCCGTAGGAGAGTGAACCTAAGGTTGGAATCCCCGAAAAGAAGTATACGATAGTTCAGCTAACTGCCAACTACTGCGGACTTAGAGAGGGGTATTCTAGAAAATAAGCGACGGAGAGTAGAAGCGTTGTAAAGACTCATTCCTACATTATTAAGGTGAGATAATAGAAGTACATATATATTTCCTTACGTGTGCCTTGAGGATGTTTATTTTCCAACAAGGGATAAAGAAAATTTACAAATTGTATTTTTGAAGAAGTTAGATGACAGTATTTTTGTCCAGTATGATCGGGACTATTTAGTTTTATTAGGATGTGATTCTAATAGTATATTGGATAGAAAATTAGATTATGTGGGGTCAAAAACACCTGTGAAATCTCAGATTATTGATTTGATTAAGGAATTTGTAAATATATATACGATTTAGAAGATATATGGAGGAAAAAGAAATCCGAAGGTAAAGCAATTAACTTTTCGACATTCAATACTAAATCACCCAAAGCTGGTCATACATAAACTACTATCAAATGTCCGATATGATTTTAGTGTGGTACGGTATGTCACTGAAACAGCTCCCGTAGGACTTTTGTGCCAAAATTGATTTTTTGGCATTTTTGGATTGATTGGGGTTGAAGCTATCAGAAATTGATGGGGTTCAAATTATCCTGACCCTCAACCCCTCTCTTGGGGGGGGGGGGGGTAGTTTCCTATCATGAGACCCCCTAAAATTGGGTGTGTCATTCATCTAATGACTGGTTTCACAAAACTTGAGTTGTTTTCTAGAACTGTGGTTATCCCTCAACAGCGAGAAAGGTAATTTGAAGACTTTCAGTTGGATAAACCCTTCAACCAACCCACCCCCATCCCTACCCCACCCCCGTCAGCCCAATTTGCGTACCTTTGTCATTGTTCGGCCAGCTGTTTTAAGGTGTAGTACTTTATTACCATTATCATATATATTTACTAGCCCATTTCCAAACACAAATAGACAGAAACAAACATACAGACAACCTTCATGTATACACATCTACCTCCCCACACACACACACACACACACGCACGCACACACACGCTCATGCACACACGCACACCCTTCCTCCCACACGCACATACTCACACACACCCAAACATTCACAGGCAAGTGCGCGCGATTCCTACATAATATTATGCTGCTCTGTGATCATTGTTTCCAGCTCTTCTGTGGTAAAAGTTGTTTTGTTCCTTGGTCTTCGCAAGTTTGACAGAATAAAGACCCCTCTTTTTGCAGTATATTGCCTGATTTCCCAAGGTAAGCATAAACATATAGCCAATGGCAAATCTAGATTTTAAAATTTTATGTGATATGGGTCTTCATTATCGGTTAGAGAAGAAGAAAATAAATTGCAAAAACAAGAGAGAACTTTATTACTCTTGATCAATCAATCAACTTAGATGGTCAAATTGACAAATTGGTAAACATTTTATGCATTGATATATATATATATATAAGATCATGGACCTATTACGGAAGGAC